ATAAAAATAAGTCCCCCGGCCGCGTCTTTCTGTCCTCCTGTCTGTCCTCCTGTCTGTCTGTACGCGATAAACTCGAAAACTACTGAACGGATTTTTATACGGTTTTCAACAATAGAAAGAGTAATTCTTGAGGAAGGTTTAGGTATATAATTTATTATGCTTTTATGTAAATTAGCTGAAATACGGCGACAAATGTTGAAGAGGTCGCAAAAAATCTCGCCAAATGGGAACTTTCCACGCGAACGCCGCGTAAACTAGCAAAGATACAGTTAAGTAATGTACTAGAGAATTCAAAATCTATAAAAATGCTACAAAAAAGTCCGCGATAGCATATCTCTATCTCTTACGGTTGACTTACAATAACCACTTTTATGTTAACATTTTTAATTAAAAACATTACGTTATTTTCAAAGTTATTTTCTTTAGTTCGGTATTAATCCTTATCCAAATGAATATTTTAGTTAGCTTAGTCATTTAATGCAGATTAAAATTGCTCTTTACACTAAATCAATCAGATGAATAGTTTTTGAGATATCGTTGTTAGAAGTAATTAGTAGCGAAACATTTTTAATGCTTGGCGAGCATTGAGATGCCTACGGCGAGTCCATCCCCTCTGCCCCGCATCGCTCGACCGCCTGCTCAAGCTATATAAACCGGGCGATGTAGCGCGCGATCCTAGGATACTTTTTACCGCGGGAAAATATCTTATTTCTGAGGAAAAATACAAAAACTGCAATGTAAGAGTATACTAATATGTAACACCTAAGAATTTAGTTTTTGGTCATCTGAACGCGGGCGATGCTAGTATAATATAAAATTATCTACTAAACAGGTTTTATGTCGACTGTCCAAACGTATATAATAACTATGAAAAAAAAGAACCTGATCGCAAAAGTAAAATGGCGACGCTTACTTTTGGTAAAGTATAAAAGACAAATTCAGTTTTAAAGTATTTAATAGTATATCGAATATTATAATAAAATATCTAGGTACGATATTCGTATTTCTTTTATTCCTGGACGAAAAAAATCTCTCGACAATAACATTAATTAATGTTTTAATTGTTACAGATTTAGTTTTCTATTCGGTTATTGGTCAGAATTTATTTTATTCACACTTTTTACGAGTAGAGTAGATAAAATTATTTCAAATTTAATAGGTAAAGCAACAGTATAAAACTGTATACGTTATAAATACAGGTATATATTATGTACGTACAATGAACTAGCTTACCTAATATGTCACTATATTGTACAATTTTATGGCGAGTTCGTGGTTCGAGGCGCGTTTGAGGCGTTAACTTCGGAAACCTTATTAATAATGCGACGATAGCTTGTTTTTATACATATATAATGACTAATGATGTATCAGATAAGAAATCGGTTCTTCACAAAGATTCGGCCGAGATATTTCCCTACGATTGGTGATAATGTAATAATTGTCTTTCAAGTGTTATTATTGACGGGTAATTACTTTTACCGATTACATATTATAAAATTCCAGCATATAAACGTACGTAAGTAAATCTTATCATTCTAAGGATGAGAGAAACTACTGTTAAAATCTATAGTAGGTATATCTACTTATTGATAATCTATTAAACTTCTTATACATATATACAGGGTGTCCCAGAAAGTAGTGTCTAGCGGAAGACCAGAGATAGAGCACTCCTAGGGCTAACCGAAACACCCCATTCATGTATGTTACGCGCTTGTTCATGTAGTTTTTGGGTTATTTTTTTCTGAATTTTTGAGAATTTTCATACTGAACAAGTTAAAAAAGTTCAGAATAAAGTAGAATAATTCTTCGCGATTTTTTTTGCAACTGAATCTTCTTGAGTTGTACTTTTATTCTTAAAATAATCAGCTTCGTACCTTTGATGGAAATTATCAAAATGTTGGTGTAAAATGAAAAATTTACGTTCGGTGAATTATGACTTAAACATTCAACTTAAAATTAAAAATATAAACAAATGACTTCATAGTTCCTAGATAGGCCTAGTTTTTCAGACTCTCAACTTTCATAATAATCAAAAAAAGTAGTACTTAATAGGCTAAAATCGGCCTTCAAAGATAGTGAGGTGGAAAAACCACAAACAAAAACAAAGTACAAAAAAAATTTTTTGGTCATTTTATCATACATATAGGTTAATTATATTGTTACTAACCAAAAACGACTGCAGGAAAGCTAAGATTTAAACATTTGAAGCTTTTTTTAATGTTTAATTTAAGTTTCATTAATTTTACGCGATTCCTTCTCGCAGATCATGGGTTATAAACGTAGGCTCAACTCTTTTACCTGCAATAACAATAGGCCGACAGGATAAGAAACCGAATTACTAAAAGATTTTTTTTAAGGTGACGTAGTATTTGTATCGAGCACGAAGGTCGACAATTTGAAAGTTTTTTGAAGTTAAGTAATGAATAATAATTTTAACAATTACTTTTTGTTTCATTTAATAAACTTAAATTAAACTAAAAGAAATAAAATGAAATAAAAACATTTCAAGCTAAAATTCCCTTATTTTGTAACTCACGCACTGTTGATCATTAATATTCTAAGGTACTTGTAGCAGAGATACGAATCTGTTTATGTCATAGAAAATAAATAAGTTATTCTCTAATAATTTCACCTCCGTTTTTTTCGCGTTGTGCAATCTTACATACTCCTAGAAAGTCTATGAGAAATTACTTTATCAACTACAAATATGAATTTTTAAATCGTTTTCTTACCTATGATTATATGAATATGTAATAAAATGAACATACGTAAATCCGAAAATCATCAACGCAGAAATATAAATTACGTAGTTAAGTAAATGAGAGATATAATGATATCGATATGATATATTGGTTAGATTAATATATTATAGGAATTGGTCAAAAAAAATTAGTTGGAAAAATTTTGGTCAATATTCAGTATAAATAAAAAAAAACATTTTATAAAAATATCATGACTTGGTAATTGCACAACACAAACATAACGATATACGTATGAATGTACTTACCTGATATCAGATATTATCGGACTGCCTCGTTGGTATAGTGGCTAGCAAGTGCGGATGTACATACAGAAGTCTTGGGTTCGAGTCCAGGGTCGGGCCAAGTTTAGTTATTGAGTCTTTTCTGTTTAGTAAGCCTCATTAATAGGCCGGAGTTGGGAAGTTAGCGCCGTTCCACCCCTAGCCTCAGAGAGCTCGTTCACCGGTGTCGAGAAATTCCACCGGAGTATGAGAATGACAGGAACAGAGAGTGCAGTTGTACCTGCGCGAAGACTTTTGCACTATACCTACTATCTCCTGCGCAGATGGCAAGTCACAATGAGATTGGCCGCCGTGGCCGAAATCGGTCGGGTGGACATTATCAGATTATAAGTAAACGAATTTCTAACCGACTACCCAAAGAGGAGGTTATAATCTCTATGCAGTTATATGTTTGTGTTATTACCAAAACAGATGTATATTTATATACACATAGGTATGATAGTTGTGGTGGGTAGTATTGTAACGTATTTTTCCGTGGGAATGAGATAATCTCCCGCGGAAATGGATAAAGTATGTTATCTTAACGAGATAGACTTATGCCATCGCGGACTTTTCTGTAGATCTATATAAGATAAACAATTCCACCATACATTATCTTGTTATATTTTAGCCAATGTATACAAAAACTTAACAAATTATATACTAAAACCTTCCTCGAGAACCACTCTATCCATTTGTGAAAACAGCTTGAAAATCGGTGCAGTAGTTTATGAGTTTGTCGCGAACAGACAGACAAACGCGGCGGAGGACTTTGTTTTATCATATGTAGTGATGACGAGATGATGAGAGACATATAATTTCACAACTTTTTACGATGTGTGATTTGCTGTGTAATGTATAACAGGTTTGAGGCTTGGCAAACATTTATATTTTGTCGTTTGGATGAGATGTTTTTTTTTCTATAAGGAATTTTATGCCATTTTAAAAACATTATTTACAAAAAATATCGAGGGTAGTACTTTGAGGTTATCCATCTCAACAAGGATGATATCGGTTGTTTTGCATCATGACGTCATAGATCGCCAAGGCCCACGCCACTTTTACACTCGTATGACATCATCGATCAAAAAAGTTTGATTGATGTATAGCATTCACAGAACGTAAGGTGCAATTTATTTAATTGTATGTTACTTGATTTAGAGAACTAGCATATTTTTATATCCTCTTTTTAACATTCTGTAATATATGTGGAGTATTTGAAGATGTTTTTTTCATTTTTATAATATATTTCTTATGTTGGAAAACGCATCTACGCTTACCACACGCATTCATGCAGGTGGTTATGCCGGCACTCACTGTCTATTGAAGTTAGTAGTTATATATACAAGCATATATACAGACATATATATACAAATGTTCGCAATTATAATATTAGTTCGATGCATAATCATGATATATAAACAACTTTTTTTGAAAACCAATTATCCGAGATATATTGTATTAGGTAAATATTTTATGCAAAAAACATAAGCTAAAAAAATAATGAACACTTAAGGGTAGATAATAAGACACTGCGTTAAATTATTGTATTTTATTTCAAACACAAAAAAATGATAATTTAATATACAATTATAAACTAGAAATTAAAATAACAAAAAAAATAACATTTAATTAAGAGTAGAATATATAATTAGATAATAAATAATTAGTAGTAGAGTTTCAAAATAAATTAACTGTCGACAGGTACATGGTTATACGACTTTTTAACTTATATGTAATTTAATTAAGACACCTATTTTCGTAGTTCGAAAAACAAAATACCTTTTTGATCTCTTAAATGTTGAATTTATAACTCTAAAAATAAACCTAAACGACCTGTTTGAAAAGTTACTACTTCTTTTAAAAGAATAAGTTGGGCGTTATTTGGAAGCCGTCTTATGTTTTTGTTATTCTAATCTAATTTTACTATTTTTATCATGTTACATAAATAATAAACATGTATAATTTTGCTGTCTTATACCACGGGCTTAAATCGGTCCCAAGTAGATATTTCTCTAAAAAGTGCCTCTCCAGGACACTCAGTGCTGCCAACTTGACGGTGTCCAATCAATTTGTACTCTGGACTGATGTAGCCAAGTTCCACTCCTTTTGCAATAAGCTTCTTCGTAGTCTCAAGTTGGTTTACCGGTGGTACAACAGCTGTAAAGGTTCCTTATTATTCATATATAATTTTTATTTATATAATGATAAAAAATATGTAATACGTTATATGACTAATAGCTGTTTAAAATTATAGATATATAATATATATGTATATGATAAGTATTAAAATAGTATAAATTTTTGTTTTGTAAATTAATACACCTAAAATATATAACAGTTAAACCAAATATTATAATGAAAACCCACAAAAATATTATAATACCGAAAAAAGTACGTGTACGTATGTATGTATAGTGAAACTAGTAATATATCACTAGCCATTCACATCACAGAGAAAACCCCCTATATATATAATATTACTCTTTGAAGTTTAAAGTCTAATGGAAAATTATTTTTTATCGAGTAGTTGAAAGCCTAGTTACAAGCTTTATATGTGTATGTATGTATTTTGATAAAAAAATACGGCATTTTCAATAAATACTTAAGAGTTACTTTTATTAGGCGTATAACACACAATTAAAAACTTAATTTAGTAACGCAAAATAAATTTATTTGCTATGTTTTAGAGTTAGGGTATATATGCACTTGAAAACCTTTATCAATGAAACAGAACTTTATCATCAGAAGAGGCATACAACACTGTACGACGACATGACGTCAATTCTTACTATTACTGTAAATGTAAAAATCTAATTCTTTTTTTGTTATCTTTGACGCTATCACCCTACGGTCGATGCCTTTTTTAATTAGACGATCTACCAAAAGGAACATATTATTTAAAAAAGGTAGGGTTATGTTTTAAAAAACAAATGCAACGCCTACATTTCTCAAAATCAAAGATAGATAGATTTAACTAATACTTACAAACCCAATCACCGATAAGTACGATGCCTATACTTTTCGAATTGACGCCCACAGCGTGCGCACCAACGCAGTCCCATCCACGTCCTTCGTAAACATCCCCATCACCTCCTACAGCAAAACTGTTTTTTTTTATATTATTGTTTGAATATAAAATAAATAATAAATGTTACTGAAATGACTATAACATTCATACGATAACGCACGTTTCAATGTGTATCCAATAATAAATTATATATTTCTTTAATATTTTCTCATTTTAGTGACTTATCAAGATCTATATAAATATAATAATGTTTTATACAATAGCTGATATCATCAGTACCTTCAGGTAAGTTAAAGGAGAAAATATCGGACATTGCCCTTCCCGATGTTATTTTAGAAAAAGTAATTATTTCAGTTTACTCATTTTACTTTTTCCAACTTAATTTTAGGAATGGGCAATATAAATATGATTTAGAAATATCTAATAACTCACTTATAACCGATGTCAGTCCAGCCGTTGGTAATCTGGTGGGTGTACTGCATCGATCGCATGGCCCCACTACAATCTCGCCTATTATTACATGCGCTCGGTATGTAAGTGTGATGGATTACCACTAGTGAGACTGGAGTGTTAAGAATGGACCGGCTGCTAGGTGGTGATGCTCCCCACTCATCTCGAGAGACTACTGTAATATCTGTGAAATTTTGTTTAATTATATTAAAATATTTGTATTGTAATAGTATCTAATATATTTAAACGAGCAATTCACACGGGGGTGAAACACCGCCAACTTCCCAACTCCGGGCTGTTACTGACACTATACAGAAAGACTCAATGACTAAACTTGGCCCGACCCGGGACTCGAACTCAGGACCTCCGAGTGTGCAGCCGTACATGCTAGCCACTACACCACCGAGGCAGTTATATATATATATGATTTCGAGATTTCATGCACTTTTCTTTTGCATTATTCCACGCAAAATATGGACGGTAATTTGCACGGTCGGGCATAAGCATCGTGGTCAAGCGGCCAAGGCCATTTTCGAATCTCGGTCGCATACAAAGTTTTTACTTTTGTTTATTTTTTAAATATTTATTCACGCTTATAGTTTAAAAAAAATTTGTACCTCAGTCCAAAAACTCCGAGCGAAGCTCGGTAGCCCAGGTATTATAATAAAACACGTTCGGCTATATTTTACAAAAGTAAGTTTGATAATTTCAAGACATTTGTTTCAATTATTATCATTTAAAAGAATAAAAGTATTAGTTACCTATATTTGAATTTTCATACGGAAAGGATATGTAAAAAGGATAGGTGTGTACGACTCTTTATAATTATTATAATAATCTCTAAGTGAATATAGTGTGTATATGTGAACTGCCTCGGTGGTGTAGTGGCTAGCATGTACGGCTGCACACCCGGAGCTCCTGGGTTCGAGTCCCGGGTCGGGCCAAGTTTAGTTATTGAGTCTTTCTGTATAGTAAGCCGCAGTAACAGCCCGGAGTTGGGAAGTTGGCGGTATTTCACCCCCGTGCCTCGGAGAGCACGTAAAGCCGTCAGTCCTGCGCCTTAACTCTTACCGGTCGTGTCGAGTGGTCGTCCTACCGAAGTATGAGAGTGACAGGAATAGAGATTGCACTTGTGTCTGCGCGTATACTTGTGCACTATAATATCTCCTGCGCAGTTGGTTAGTCTCAATGAGATTGGCCGCCGTGGCCGGAATCGGTCGGGAGAACATCATCATCATCATCATCATAGTGTGTAAAAAAAAATAACTTACCATTGTCGGCAAGAAGTCGCGGAGGAGGTAGACACAAAACGGTGACAACAGCATGTAGAAATAGTAAAACTGAAGAAAGCCCCATTCCTTGAGAATAGGAAAAAAATAAAATGATTTAAAATAAACTACATGTAGTCAATTTATATGTATAAATGGAGCCGTGATCAATATCGAAATTGGCGTATAATATAAAATTACTACTCTACTAAACAGGTTTTATATCGACTGTCCAAACGTATATAATAACTTTGAAAAAAGAACATGATCGCAAAAGAAAATGGCGACGCTTACTTTTGATAAAGTATAAAAGACAAATTGAGTTTTAAAGTATTTAATAGTATATCGAATATTATAGATAAAATAAAATATCTAGGTACGATACTCATATTTCTTTTATTCCTGGATGAAAAAAATCTCTCTACAATAACATTAATTAATGTTTTAATTGTTACAGATTTAGTTTTCTATTCGGTTATTGGTCAGAATTTATTTTATTCACGCTTTTTACGAGTAGAGTGCATAAAATGATTTCAAATTTAATAGGTAAAGCAACAGTATAAAACTAGTATACGTTATAAATACAGGTAATATATTATATACGTACAATGAACTAGCTTACCTAATATGTCACTATATTGTACAATTTTATGGCGATTTCGAGGTTCGAGGCGCGTTTGAGGCGTTAACTTTGGAAACCTTATTAGTAATGCGACGATAGCTTGTTTTTAACCATATATAATGGCTAATGATGTATCAGATAAGAAATCGGTTCTTCACAAAGTTTCGGCCGAGATATTTCCCTACGATTGATGATAATGTAATAATTGTCTTTCAAGTGTTATTATTGACGGGTAATTACTTTTGCCGATTATATAAAATTCCAGCATGTAAAAAAAAGTATGTAAGTAAATCTTATCATTTTAAGGATGAGAGAAACTACTGTTAAAATCTATAGTACCTATATCTACTTAATGATAATCTATAAAACTTCTTTTACATACAATTATAATAAAATAATAGATGAGTTAAATCTATAAATAACATTTTTTTTTAATTTTCAACTGACTTCCTCAAAAAGGAAGAGGTTCTCAATTCGGCTGTATGTTTGTTTTGGTTTTTTTAATGTTTGTCACCTCAGAACTCCGTCATTTATTAACCGATTTAGACAATTTTTATTTTGTTTGAAAGTCGGTGCCAGCCGATACAAGGCAAAGCACACCGATTTCGAATATATTTGATTAGGTATGTATAGTAAATGAAAACTCCCAATCAGTTATTTTTTACTTTTTAGTGCTTTTTTTGAAGTCGGTTTTTGAATTCCAAAACTATAAATACGGATACAAATGTATCTTGGTATAATTATTATTTCATATTATGTGGGATATTAATTTGCCGAATTGTTTGTCGAAACTACGTATGTGTATACTCTTTCGTGTTGTATTGTAGACGTATTAGTCTATACTAATATTATAAAGAGGTAAAGGTTGTGAGTTTGTAACGTTGTAGGGGATAAACTCTGGATCTATTGAACGGATTTAAATGAAATTTGGTAAGAAGATAGTTTGAGACCCTGGGAAGGACATAGGATACCATATTTTTATCCAGGAAATCATCCTTTAAGGCGATGTAAATGGGGACAAAAGTTTGTATGGGAAATCAAGCTAGGGACAAACCCGAGCGAAGCGAGGGCGAGTCTCTAGTATGATATAAAGACAGACCTCAACATTTAATATCACTTTTATCCTCAAACTCAAAAGTTTCTCGCGGGTACAAAAGTTTTATTTAAAGTTTATCAGAATAGTATAAACGTTTTATCAGAACAATGTTTATCAAAACGTTAAAAGACACGATAACCAGCATAATTATATTTTACACTAGCGGAGTACCCTCGCTCCGCTCGGGTTCGTCCCTACATTTTAACGTTTATCAGAAATGAGATAATTCCCACAGTAAAAAGTATTAGTAGTAGGCAGTGGTAGCCCAGTAGGCAGTGGTAGTGAAGCGGGTTCAAACTGAATACAATATTGACTCGGATAACCGGCATATCATCACAACAAATTTTATCAAAATCCATTCTATGGGTTTTCCGTGATACAGTAACAGACAGACAGACAGACCGCCAAAATTTTTAAAACTAGATTCGGCTTCTGTATCGATAATAATGTCTATTTCAATAAGATTTTACAAAAAATATTTAATGTACAGATTCGGCTTAGTTACAATTTTATTACAATATGTATAATTTAATTATCTTAACCTATGTATATAAATAGGTATGACAAAACAGTTCAGTAGCTTTTACTTTTCTGTTGTTTGTTCAGTAGCTATTGACAAGCTTTAGCAATAAAAAACTGTTGGAATAAGTAAAATTTTTTAGAGTTAAAAACGGGGAAAAAGGTAATATGATAATTTATATATGCACAGTAGACACTGTGGTCTGTGTGTCTCACTCTGTCTACCACAATCTATTGGCTAGCATGAATGTCTATAGATCCGGATGTCCTGAATATAATTATGGGGTTCTCCTGTTGTGTTCTACATGGAAGTTGGCGGTGGTATATCCTCGTACCTTGTAGAACACATATCTACGTCTGTCGTGCACTAGATTTCTGGTCGTGTCCTTATTACACGGAGTTCGAGACTCTCGAACTCCGTGTATCTCCGTGTACTCTCGAATCGAGAGTGAAAAATAATAGAAAGTGCACTTGTGTCTATACACACGCTTGTGCATTATAATATTTTCCGCACAGTTGGCTTGACTAAATAGGATTGGCTGCCGTGACCGAAAACGGTCAAAAGGGTCTGGTGATTCTTATGATACGGTCTTCTCCTACACTTAATATAATATACATATATCAATAATATGTCCGCCAACCCGCACTTGGCCAGCGTGGGGGACTATGGTCTGATCCCCCTCGCATTGAACGGAGGCCCGTGCCCAGCAGTGGGACGTTAAAAAGGGCAGAATACTATAATATATTGATTATGAAAATTTAACAATAATGAATGCAGGAAATGTTATCATTAAATTAATAATGATTATATTGATTACTACGAATTCAACTAAAGATCTTCTGATAGAAAGTAAAACAGATCTTTCTGATAAGTACACCTTTATTCGTAAAACATACTTACCTACAATTATAAGTTATCGAACCTTTTATCTAACCTATGTAAGTACGAGTTTTATATATCTTAAGAGAATTTCATGGTTTTGGCCTTTTACAATATATTTGTTTTGTACACATGCCCCATTGAGATTTTAATATAACACTAACACTTTTTGTACGGGATGATAATCGTAATAAATGTGACCTAGAGACATCCAGAAGCGAGAGTTGGTCACTAATGAATAAAATACTACTAACTGATCGATGTAAATGAGAAAAATAGAACAAACCTTGACCTGCCCTTTGTTATACAAGTAATCGGTGTGAAAATTGAAAATCGCTAAATTTGATTGATTTTTATCATACCTTCCTATATTTAAATTTCAAATTAAATTATAAAACTCTTACAATAATTTTCTTTTAAAATATCAAACCGCGATAAGACCTCGGAAGTAGAGCCGTCGGTTAAAACTAGTTGTATATAATTCAAAAATAATTAAAAAGCTTTCAGCTACTAAACATCCTCTAGGCAAAAGAGGCAGAACCTAGGCTCTATGATTGATAACATGGTCACAGTTAAAAACAAATAAATTAGAAAGCGATAAACAAAAGGTTATAAACAACATATATTTTATTGTTATAACATAAATATGTAAAAATAAAATGGAACTGACACACAATAACATGGGTACTTTCCTCATTCCCGTATGACAATGTTTGCCCAAATTTTAATACCTAATTAATTGTATATTTTATTTTTTAGATTATAATAATAATTTCATATCATAACTTTAGTAATATTCGTTTTATTCTCTTAAATAAATAAGATGAAGAATTAAAAAAAAAAGAACAAAGGTATAATTTGCACTAAGTGAAACCTCTCATTAAACAGATATAGAGACGTAGAGATATACTCGTACATAGTCATGTACACCGTCCATACGATCCTTAATTAATCTAATATTATGTATATTTTCTCCTTATAAATATAGCGTGACAGTTTCTACAACAGTCTATCTCGTATCATCTCTAATTACTACATCGAATGTTTATATTTTGCACTCAAATGAATTCAATATGGAGTTGTAACAAACTGTAAATTATAAAATATCTGAAAACATCATTTTTATATAAGTTAAAATTATTAGCATAATTCTCGATTGTAAATATTGTCCAGTGTAGAACAGTTGCAGTATAAAATAATCTGTTTTCGCATAAGATAAAATCGTCGGCGAGATTTTAATTTTAACTTCTATGTAAACATAAAAATAATGCGCACAAATAAATAGATACTTACAGAAGCAATTATTAGAAAATAGAAACCATTTCAGGAATTAAAAAAAGTAATATATGGATTTTATTACATAGTATATCTATTTATATAATACCCGTATTTCTGATACAAAGGGAATCCCTATTCCGTTATCATATTATTATCTAATATTATTAAGAAGTTCAATGTTAGTTACGCGAAAATATAACTAATAATTAGAATTGTTTTTTCCTTATTTTAATATATTCTTTAAATTTATTACTTCTCTTTAATTACAAAAGTATCTGTTGATAATATTTTGCTTATATACGATGAGCTTTTACATAATACCTACCTTTGAATAATTATATTATACTACTAGCATTGCCCGCGGCTCCGCCCGCATTCAGATGACTAAAAACGAAATTCTTAGATGATACATATTAGTATACTCTTACATTGCAGTTTTTGTACTTTTTCTCAGAAATGAGACTTTTTCCCGCGGTAAAAAGTATCCAATATATTGACCCGGATAACCAGCTATCACGATACCAAATTTCATCAAAATCCCTCCAGTGGTATTTCTGTGATGCGATAACGGACAGACAGACAATAATTCTAAAAACTATAGATTCAGCCTCTGTATCGATTATAATGTTTATTTTATTATATTAATTATTATTATATTAATATAGATTCTTGTTATATAATATACTAGCAGAACCCGCGGCTTCGCCCGCATCCAAACTTCCGATCGCTAACAAAATTCACAGGATCACCCGCTGGGCTAATCTGAAGATTACTTGAAAATTTCATCAAAATCACTCCAGCTGCTTTGGAGTCCATAGGATACATAAAACTGGAAGTAAGGTAGTTTCATACAAACTTCCATCCCCAATTTTATCCCCTTATAGGATGAATTTCGAAAAATTGTAAAAGACGTGGTTATTCAATTTTATTAAAAAGTATTAATACCAAGTTTCAAGTAATTCTGATCATAAATATATTTTTGGATTGTATACCGTATTTTCCCGTAGGAATTAGATAATTTCCCGCAGTAAAAAGTAGCCTATGTCACTCTCCAGCCCTCCAACTATCTCCACACAAAAAAAATCACGCCAATCTGCCAATCCGTTTCGACGTAAAAGAAGGCAAACAAACATACTGTCATATTTATAATATTAGTATGGATATGGATATCTAATGACAGGTTTTATTTCTAAGTAGTGTAGATTGTAGAGATGTGTAAATATCATGGGTGACGTCATACTAAAACTGGTTTATGGGCTATGAATGAATGAATATACTACATTAACATAAGAAGAAACATAAAACTCAGATAACAAGAAAATTAATAAATAAATCTTAAATTGTCACATACGAACAGGTATACAGCCTCCTGCTCCGTATACCTATACTTTTTACTTAAGCTACCTTTTAGCTTCTCAACTCTTCGAAGTAAATTTCGTTATGATTTAATGGAGATTATAGCCAATACAAAAAACTAAATAAAATTCCTTGCACACAGCAGTCAAACTTCGGCGTAATTCTTCTAATGATTATTATATGAATAGTTTAAATTTAAAGAATGACGAGCACATTTTGATCTAAGTTTTTTAAATCCGAAGGAATTAATTGTCTACGTCATATATTTTTAGGAAAACATATTTTCTATAGCACGAGAATATTTAAATCGGATTTGTCCGACAAAAACTATACCTACAAAATATATTCTATTAATTCGTCGTCTTCATCTTTACTAATAATATAAAGAGGAAGTATTTGTTTGTTTGGACGCGCTAATCTCAGGAGCTACTAATCCTATTTGAGAAATCCTTTTTCATTAGATAGCCCGTTTATAGAAGTCTGAGGAAGGCTGTATGCTATATATCATATAGTATATAGTATATCTATTCTATACTAACCGTCAAAACGCGAGGGTGAATCGCTAGTATTCTAATAAATTATTAGCATTTACTGAATACTGAATCACCTTATAGTATGAATTGCTTAACTACTTATTCAGCTATGACAGAAATGTCATCTGTCAACGTTGCGGTTAAAATTATATAAACAAACCAAATGGTTTAAATGTTAGGTTCTTTACCTCTGTTTTTCTCGCGATTTGGATATATTTCTCATTGTTTTACCTCAACTTATGCAAAATATTTTGAACTGAAATGTTGATTCTGTGATATCCTAATGACAACATAAAAAGGAAAGTCAGGTGCCCCATAATGCTTAATACTGAATACACGGAGTTTTCCTCAGAACTTCAATTGAAGTACATGATGAAATTTTTATTGATAATACAGATGTGTTTGCCGACAATATTTTAAGATATGAATATCTAATAGGTAAATACCTATGTATTTTACGTATCGAAATATATTAGATTTGCTTTGCATCGGCTGGCACCGACTTCGAAAATATCTGATTAGGTATCTATTCTAAATGAAAACCCCCGTTTAATTATTTTTTACATGTTAGTGCCTGGAAGTCGGTTTCTTTTAAATTTTTATTTTTTTTATTTTTAGTGTAGACGTAATAAGCAGGTAATTTGTAAGAAGAAAGTTTTTTAATAACATATTCGATTAAACAATTTATTTGAAAAAATAATTTATTGTTGTTTTTTTAAAAAACTGCTCGACCGATTTCGATAAAATTTATATGGGACTACCTGCGAAGTATACCCTTTAAAACAAAAAAAAATCCAAATCGGTTCAGGCGTCTTCGAGTGATCAGTGAACATACATAAAAAAAGAAAGAAAAGATTCCGACGAATTGAGAGCCTCCTCCTTTTTGGAAGTTGGTTAAAAACTGTGGTAGCTGGACTTATAAGTTGTAGAAAATACGGTCACGGGAGAGACATTTGAAACGTCGGGAACCAAAATAGAAAATAAAACCGCGAGAAAATCCAAAAAACATAGTTTCATTTTAAAATGTACAATATTCGCGTAAATCTAAGAAAGTATTAAGGGCTAAGTTATTATTATTTATTATTTATATATTCTTTAATCAAACTTGCAAGAGAATAATGCAGTTAAAAAAAACCTGTATATCTGAATTTTACTGTATTATGCTCACTTTTAACAAATATATTAAACAAACATAAGAAAAAGTCATGATGTTAATAATTAAAGTCTATAATTTCGCCTCTAGGATAGGTAACGGCGAAATAAAAAGTTGACTGAAACATTGTGTTTGCTTATTTTTTAGAACTGTTTAGTCACTTAACTGGTTATGGAAATATTTCAAAGACAAATAAAAAGATTACAATCGAAAAAAAAACTATGAAATTCATAATTATATATCATAAAGTTCACAACTTCTTAATTTATCAAATAAACATTTGTATCAAATAAACATGTAGTTATTTACGTAATTGATGCCCTAATTGCCTATTTAAGAAGTCTAGTTACACTTCAGTAGCTCGTGATGAAGGAGTGGCGTGGCATTGCGTAAGCGAAGGCGAGACCGGAAATACGGCGCCATATGATTGCCGGAAAGAAACTCCCATTATAAAAAATACTAGCGGCTCACCCTCACTTCGCTCAGGTTCGCCTAGAAAAGCACGCATAGATCCTACGGGAACCGTTTATTTTTCCGGAAAAAAAGTAACCTGTTGTTTGACCGGCAATATAAGGTCAGCATGTCAAATTTTACTAGATTAGGTGTATAAGTTGTTGTGTACTAACTACTAAGCTGTATAAGTTACTATAGTTTTTTTAACTATGCCACGATAACTCCACGAGAACTCTTTAATTTTCCAGGATGAAAAGTATTTAAAATGTTGACCGAAGACATAAGGTACTACCATGCAAAATTTCATTTAAATCAGTCCAACAGTTTCGGAGATTAGCCCGTACAAACAAACAATCAGACAGAGAAACAAAAACATTAAAAAAAACTGATTTTTTTCTAATTCGTCTTCTTACATCCCCCTGACTCGGTTTTTTGCAAATTTTTTTCATGTACAGACATTCTACCTCTACAGTTTTATTATATATATAGAAGATAATAAATATAAATTATAATATTGAGACGTGAACATAAAACGTGTATAACAAAAGAGGAGAGGAAAAGTCTATTCTTTTAACAATAAGATAAAATAAATCTGGCTTTATAATAAAATAAGCTTTTTATGTTTTGAAGTTTATAATGAGCTTTTAATAATTGATAACGTCTCTACGTTCGAGAACTAGATTTCTACAAAAACAAATGCACACGTTACACTAAGGGGAATTACTGACAGATTGTTCGCATTTTGTAAAGTGCGAATTTACTAACATGAAATGTTATCCAAAAAATCAACATAATTATGTGCATAAGATTAGAGTATTTTATAAATTAATTCTAATAAATGATTTAAATCCAGAGAGAATAAACCCACGGCTTTCTTAAAGCAAAAGAAAATGATTGATTTACATACGAGTAATTCACACATTCTAGCCAATACTTTAATAAGTTATGAATATGCCCGGTATGCCCTGAAACATACATAGATTATTCATACATACTCACGCGTATGTACAATTTAAATGATTTCATTTTGACGATGAATTAAGTTCATTATGTAATAAATAATCTGTATAATTCGTAAACATAAGGCAGGAAAGCATCAAAAATAACGCTATGACGTCGGCAAGTTTTATTTAAAAACGCGCCCGGCCGTCTCGATAAATTTCAGATAACGACATTTCCGCAGTAGTCGTTATATTGTGATGAATTATATATACACATAAAATTATTTATCTATAAAAATCATGATTATTGTTAGAATTTTATTCATTACTTTCTTTTCAATCCATATCCTTGCTTTTAATATTATAAATGTGAAAGTGTGTTTGTTTGTTTGTCCTTCTTTCACGTGGAAACAGAGTGACGGATTGGCGTAATTTTTTGTATGGATATAGTTGGAGGGTTGGAGAGTGACATAGGCTAATTTTTACCGCGGGAGATTATCTCATTCCCACGGGAATACACGTTATAATACAACGCAAAAAATATTTATGATCAGAATTACTTGAAACTTGGTAAAAATGCTTTTTTTTATTTTAAAAGAGTAAAATAGTAGTATTACTTCTTTAAATGTCTGTCTGTCTGGATGTCAATTCTGAATACTCGTATTCATTTTAATTTTTCGTGATAAAAACTAATGAACATTAAGCAAGTAGCAAAGCAAGCAAGGTTAAAATTAAAAAATGTTATTAGATCAGACCAATCATTTTTCAATTTAATAAATGAAATTATTTTATAATTATGTATTCCACTTAATGATTGCTAAGCTTTTTATCGTTAAAATAAAAGTATATACAAGGTATGAATCTGAAAAGCTTAAACTTCCTTTTAACATTTACTTTAAATAGTTTTAAAGTTTTATAAATTAAATTATTTTTATATTTAAATTGTTTTTACCTTGCCTACTTTACTAGAAAGTTTGTAAAAGTCATGTCCTTTCAATTTATACGACTACTTGTATTTAAAAAGATCAGGTAAAAAATACTTCTTCAAATTTAGTATTATTAATTAAAAAAAACTAAAATTAAGTCAAGTACATATATTACATTATAGGCACCTTAATATTTATAAAATTCTCATTCTCAGACACTCATTTGGTAAATAATATTTGAAAAGAATATTTAAAACAACAACTAATATTTTAAACAACAGGCAGCAAAATGTGATAGAATCTTGTATACACGATATAATTATGCTGAGAGAGATCCCGAATTATACATTCTATATGTAAAATATACATGGCATCTTCGCTCTCCTATTTATAAGTTCCAGTGTGTTCTGCTGAAATTCCGCTAGTCGGTAAGCACGCGCGCCCATCGTCGCGTCCTGAATCTTTTTTTTCATATGTATTATTTATAAAGTTTTTTATTAAACTTATTTCTATATAATGATCCTTTAGTGCAGTGTTTAGTGTTTTATTTAAAGTGCGTATCACTTTTGTGCTTTACACATCTCTCACATACACTTAGTAAGATACACAATAGATTATTTTAGACAACGGCATAATGCATTTTGTTCGTTCACGTTCTCTTACAAGAATTTCTAAGTCGAGACGAAAATAAGCTTATTTTGTTTAAATAATATGTTTGGAAAGAGATTTAAGTACATACATGTATTTGTAATTTTTAAACTTAAATTAATAAAAACAACAATATATTTGTTATATAATATGATATAATGAATACCTACTACAAACTATTTATATCTATGCATGTTACGTATTTTTTTTCTTTTTCATAAAATTGTGCTTTAAATCAGAATTCAATTAATTAGACGATGAAGAAATTATTTTTTAAAAAGATAACAAACAGATAATTACAAATTTTATTTATTAAAAGTACCCCCCTTCGCTCAGTAGGTAATATCTACATGCTATGAGATAGGTTAATTATTATAACTAGAATATATTTTAAAATTACACTGAGATGCTTTTATTTGGTCTACATTATTATGTTCTCAAATATCGAGGCCGAACGTATTTTCTGTGCTGGATTCGAACCTGCAATCAAAGGCATTGTAATCAATCCTTAATAATATATTTTACGTAATTTAATTAAGTGTAGTACATTAAATTTTAATCGGATGCAGTACATCCGATCCAACAAAAATTAATCAGCAATAATTTTGGCACGAGCATTCTTAATCGAAATAACTACGATAGAATGTTTACAAGCACAATAACGCACATATAGTTGAATATTATACTGAAGAAAATCTGTGACTAAAATATTATTAACAATTTTTCAATATTAAATGGCCAATATGTGCGATTATAAAAAGAAACTACCATGATTAATAAACTAGTATATTAAAAAATATATATGATTTTTTTATTAGAAACCAATTAAGAATTAAAATTTATAATAACCAGAATAAGTATTTATTAATTAAATAAAAATGGTGAGTCTAAAGCGTGAAAGTATTTCAATTTATTCATTCGTGTTAATGATTTATGTTAATTAAAAGTAAAGACATATGTAGGTATAATTCTCGTCTAGGCAAAAAAGAAGAATTATCTAGAAAAAAAAACCCAATAAAAACACCTTGTAATTAAATAAGAAAATAACATACGAGTATAACACAGTCACACATTTCAGAACACAACAATGCCAATCGGTAATGTAAGTAGAGACACCGCTCCTAAGCGAGAGACGTTCAGGCCGCCATGGGTGAAAGACAAGGACTCGGATGCACCTCCTGCCTGGACTCAGAAAAAGTTAAAGCCAGTTGAGAGCTCTGCCAAGAGCGTGGATGAAGCAGCAGCAGCTACACCCGTTGCCAAGCCTTTAAAACGTAAGTGTTGTAGTACTGCTCCTGGGGTTATACAATATTGTCCTCCTGACCGACACCGGCCACGGTGGCAAAATTGCATGTAAACTAGAAAAAATAAAGAAAATTGGTATGTAACCACACAAGAATGAGCGCAGGCACAATTGCATTTTTTATTCATTTCACTCGACTAGCAGAAATTAGGTTCAGGAACAAGGTTTTACGTTCTCTCCAAGGCACAGAGATAAAAAAACTACGTTTAAAAAGACCGACTTCAAAAACAAAAAAGTATAAAATAACTTAATAAAGATTTAATTTAATACATCTCTTATGCAAACCTAATCTATACTAATATTATAAAGACGTAAAGTTTGTGAGTTTGTGACGTTGTAAGGGGTAATCTCTGGATCTACTGTGCCGATTTATGTGAAATTTGGTAAGAATATTATTTGAGACTCTGGGAAGGACATAGGATATACTTTTCATCCCGGAAATCATCCCTTAAGGGGGTGAAAATGAAGATGAAAATTTGTATGGGGAATCGACCCGACCGAGCGAAGCGAGGATGAGTCGCTGGTACTTTTAATATCAATAAAATACTATTATTTGTATGTGCTACCTGTTGATAGGTTTGAAGTCTTTTTTTTTATTTATTTTTTTTGTGTCTGTAATAGGTTGTTCTGTAAACAACAGTAGGTAATATGTAACGATTGGTTATAATATTTCTCAGTTTCTCTGCTCCGCACGCTCGCTCCGCTTCAATGACAGGTAGCCTAATTTCCACTTATCTGGACACGGGTTAATAATTATCTATACATATAATAAAATTTTATCTAAACAGAATCTGTACATTAAATATTTTTCGGAAAATCTTATTGAAATAGATATTACTATCGATACAGAGGCCGAATCTATAATTTTTAGAATTTTTGTTTGTCTGTTACCGCATCACGGAAAACCACTAGAGGGATTTTGATGAAATTTGGTATGGTGATAGCTGGTTATCCGGGTCAACATATAGGATACTTTTTACTGCGAGAAAATATCTCATTTCTGAGAAAAAATACAAAAACTACAATATAAGTGTATACAAATATGTAAAACCTAAGAATTTTATTTTTGATCATCTAAACGCGGGCGGAGCCGCGGGCAATGCTAGTAATATTATAAAATAAACATAATTGACAGATTTAAAGAGGATTGGGTATTGGGAAAAAAGGCGTAGACGGACTGACTAAACAGGAATGTTATGGGAAAATTAAATGTTACGACAATACCTATTGTTGTTATTTTGGTCCTCTACGTAACGATGTATAAAGAATTAATCTCTTGGAATCTTTATGCACAAAAACATATGTTTTTCTTCTTTTGACTTCTACGCTTTTGAATGTTGTCTCGGTGTATTTGAATTAATGTCTTAATGTAGACATTTGCTTTCACCTGTATCTTCAAACAGGTACTAAATTTACGTACATTTTATGCTAATTGTATCTGCATATTTACAATTTACATGGCATTTGAATGATCAGTCATAATATTATGACAAGCTGACTGAACTGTTTTCTACATAATTACTATTATTTTACTATACTTTTTACGTTTACATTATTAGGTACTTTACAAAGTATTTGTATATGCAAACATATTCAATTGTTGCAGCCCGAAGAGTACCACGACCCTTACTAGTTTTAGTAACTAGTTTTCATAAATTTTTATTAATACCATAATTTTAACGTTTTAGTAAAGATTTTTCAGAGATGAGATATTTTCCCACGGTAAAAAATTTCCTATATGTTGACCCAGATAACCAGCTATCATCATACCAAAATTTCATCAAAATCTCTCCAGTGGTTTTTCCGTGACGCGGTCACAGACAGACAAACAGACGGACAGACAAAAATTCTATGTACAGATTTGACTCAGGATTTTATTACCTATATGTATAGATTTTATAAAGATTATCTAACAAATCAACAGACGAATCGTGGGCGATCAGCAAAAACAGACATTAGTCACTAGTAGGACAGAAGTACCAACTGTTTTGTCAACATACTCACTGAGAAGATGCCAGCTGAATTAATCCTAATCTATATTTATTGCTGCTATAAATACATATAAATAGAAGATGCATTAGTTGTCAATAAAAGGGATAACAAAATAATAAAAATTAATTATAGTTTATCTGTATACTTTTCATGCAAATCCCTCGAGCCGTTTCATCGTGAAAGACATACACATATATACAAACTCTGGCATAAAATAATAATAGTCCGATCGATTAAGAACCTTGTTGAGATTTTTTGTACTATACAATTTTTATAATGACTTAAAATTTTATTTTGAGCAAAACAAACAACATAATATTTATAAACAGTCGTTTTCGTGACCTTTGTTTTGTGGCGCAGACACAAGATTATTATACGAGACATTTGAGATAAAATATAATTTTTTTTTAATATATATTACAAATTTATAGCTTATTATAATTAAACATTTCCAGTCTTCCTTCATCTTGGAAACGACATTTTAAAGAAAATATTAAATGTAGAGTACCTAATACTCATTTATAGGGAAGTAAAAGTTCATTGCATCTTTAAATTCCCATAATTTATAGAGTATATTATTTCCTACATTAATACAGACTCGATTAATAATAATTGGTTAAGTCAATAAGTGCAATGCACCAACTTTAATTACTAGTGTTCGCCATAATCATTAATGAAAATTTATAAATAATAATACTGTTTTGTTTTATCTATGCTAAAAAATAACCATTTCTAAAAAAAAAATACACAAAAAATAAAAGAAAATTGGTTGACAAACAGAGGAGAAAAAGGTACAGAACTGTTTTGTCTCCTTATAAATAGAAGATTAACAATAGTTGCTTTGTTATTATTATGTATTAAGTAATGGTTTTAAGAAGTAAAACTTGCTGTAAATAGTAATTTCGACACAAATGAAACATTTCATATGTTATCACGTGTTTGTTCTATATCAAAGTCGTGCAAGAATTGTGAATATTTAATAATAATTTAATATGTGACGATATCTGCGCCTACGCTTGCTACGCTTGTAGAATGTACATGTTGTTTTTCGACGTCAATACTCGTGTTAAACGATTATTCACGCATTGAAAGGGTTTTTTAGTATAATCTGTCTTGTTCTCGCAATTCCAAACAATTCTGCAATTTAAATACACTGCAATACCTATAGTAAATATTTTAAATAAAACTATCTTTTCGGATTTTTTCGCGAATTTATTTTGATTTTTGGTTCCCTACGTTTCGAATGCTTTACAGCGATCATGGTCACGGCAGAGACTTGAGTTTTATTTAAAATGTCAAGTATTTGTGTAAATTTAAGAAAGTATTATATAGTAAACATTTTAAAAGTAACGTTTTTCTTTTCTACGTATTTGTTACTAAAATATATGAATTATTTATTATTAACCCGCTATGAAATATTTTATATAGATGTTTATGTCCTGGATTAACACATATGTACTTACTTTTCATCGAAGTACCTACAGGTTGCTAATAAAATTTGTTTACTATTATATCTATAAAATATAATCGCAGTTTATTTATTTTCCTTAGGTTTTTACTATTTTTAATTAAATAACTCTCAGGTTCAAACTTCTCTCTCTCTCTTCACAAAAAATCAATTCAATCCGTTCCTGCTTCGCTACGTATGAAAAGGACAAAAATTTCGACACTTGTAATTAATAACATTGAAACTATAGGTATAACGTAAGATTACGTAACTTTTCTTAGTAAATAGATTAAAAAACGCACAAATTTTTTTTTAAATTGTACCCATAGTTCCACAGATTAGCACTTGCAAATAAACAAACAAACTCTTCAAATTTATATTAAGTATGCCAGGGACGAACCCGAGCGAAGCGAGGGTGAGTTGATTCCGCATACAAACTTTCATCCCCATTTTCTCCCCCTTAAGGGATGATTTCCGGGATAAAAAGTACCTATCCTATGTCCTTCTCAGGGTCTTAAACTATCTGCTTACTAAATTTCATCTAAATCGGTTCAGTAGACCCAGAGATCACTCCCTACAACGTCGCAAACTCACAAACTTTACCTCTTTATGATATTAGTATAAATTAGTACAAAATTGGTTAAGGCGTAGGCTGTTCAACATGTAACATCACGTTGATTTTAGAAGCGCTCGGTATTTTACGAAATTCCGCGGCGCCATAAAAACGCAAGCGCAAATCAATTAACTTTAGATTTCTGGAGGATGGAGAACAATATAAACTTTACGTCAAAGATCATACTCCACTATACGCGCAATATGCTTAAAGAGACGTACATACTTTTTTCATCGTATTGCTAGGAAGGTATTATAATATATACATACGTACAATAAAACAACGAAATCTGTACATTATTGTAACGTATTGTGTACAGAATATAGATCCCAAAACAATAGTTATTAAAAAATGTGTCAGTTTGTCCGTTTGTCTGTACACACAAACTGCGTTTGCGTTTCACGCAAAAAGTACAGAACCGATTTTAACTAAATTTTGTATAGTGGTAACTTATTATTCGCGGCATCATTTAGGATACCTTTTACTACAAGGGAAAATCTTTCAATCCCACGGGAAAACACAATAACAGGTTATATCGAGTCGTCCTTAGAATGTCTAACGCTGGCTAAACCTTAAGAGATACAACAATACAACGTACAAAAAAGTTGTAGATCTTAATAAGGCCTACAGAAAAACTAAAATATCATAAGTCTTTCTCCTAAGGTACACTCGCAATAACTATTCATATCCATTTAAAACGTACTTAGGGACGCACCCGAAAGAAGCGAGTGTAAGTCGCAAGTGACAAATAAAAGTCTGCTAGACACCACTTACGAAAGGGCAATATTTCAACAAGTACGATACATATTCGTATATAGGTTGATAAATTTGCCTACAAAGTGACGTCAACACCTCCCCGAAACTTTGGCAGAGACTCGGGCTGTTAGTATGACTGTAGAGAGAATAAGTTTGTTAGTCTGGAGTTAGAGAGATGATGTGAAGTGTTTTAGTGGAAATATTCAATTATATTTGTGAAAATCTTTTGTCAACTTGTGGTCACTGAAATCTTTTTTGTGTTCCCCTTTTTTATTTTATATATGGATGTTTGTACAAAAAAGGTATTATTGTTTACAGTTTAAATTTCATAATTACGTAAATTTAATATCTCACTCAAGTACTTTACATTTGTAGATTATGAAGAGTTTATAAGTATTCAGGAAAAATAATGAATCAATCGATTATTTACAAGATGAATTATTAACAATTGTTCTTATTGGTAAAGTGAAAAACACTGAATTTTAGTTCGTGATAATAATGTACATAAAAAATATTTTCTATAATAGTATAGGTTATATATAAGTATAGAATATTATTAGTTTCTAATTTTGTTGATCATTTTATTAAAATAAATGTTTGTTGTTTATAATTGTTTGTCTAACTGACAATGATCTGCATATTTATCCACTGAATATTCAGTATATATCATGAAAAAATATTAAAAAAATACTGAAAATTAATGATACATGTATCCTAAATCATGGAAACATATTCATTTTTCCAGAATAAAAAGTAGCCTATGTGTTATTCCAGGCTTATCTTAATCTCTGTGCCAAATTTCATCCAGATCCATTCAGCCGTACTGGCGTGAAAGAGTAACAAACATCCATACTCACAAACTTTTACATTTATAATATTATAAAATAAAATAATATACGGATTTACTATACTTAAAATATACTTATATTTTCAAAGTCTTGTTATCCGAAAGTATATAAAATTTTATGGCGCTTTAACGATACGATACTTTATCCCAATCTATTCAATAACTCTTTGAATTTATTTCAATTCATTGTTACGAGTATACTCAAATAGTGATTCAGACACAATATGTCAGAGGGACTTAATTATGCTGCACATATATTTAAGGTGTTCCGTGTAATTAAAGTTTGTAATAAATAGCAAAGTACGTTTTCAATCTTCAACTACACTTTGCATTTAAATACCCTGCCAATACTTAATTATATTTGTACTGCGACATATTTGGCACTACACTGTATATAAGCCGATGGGCATGAATCGCGAAAAGTGAAGAGAAAATGAAAAAGATTTGGTAGTATGACGCGATACAAAGTGTTTTAGTCGTGATATTCTCAGCCGTCGACGCCAACGAGGCGATATTTTTAGAGAGGACAGACATTTTACAAAATAAACGAAGATGTTGGGGTTACTCTGTATGATTTATTAGCACGCACTCTGTTCTACCGCTATTTAATATTTAGTTTTGTATCGTGAATGTTATATCTCTCGAATATAATTATTCTTTAGACGAATGATTATAAATTTTGTTAGGTATATGAGAATAACGTTATGCTATGCTACATGAGTAAATTCGGCATATGGAATAATTCTGTTTTAGGTATAGCAGTCTAATAATATTTTCAAACAATATATCGTTATGAATAATTGCATTGCATTGCATAGTCATTTATTTAAATTACGATTTAAGTTTTATTAAGTGTATCCCGTATATACTTCTTTTTTTCCTGAAACAACCAAACAAGATGTAAAATTTATTTATCTTATATGAGCAGCAGTTATATAACGCAGATTTTATAACAAAAAAGTCTCAGCTAATTAACTACTAGACATTAACAATTAATGATTATTTGGTATAACAAAATATCATATTAGGGTTCTAATGTGTAATCGCTTTAAAATAGCGAAGGTCGGCCATCCACCATCTTGGCAGCCGCCATGTTTATTTGCGTACGCAAATGCCATCAAATGCATCGAAACGAGAACATAAACACGTGTTTCCAAAATTTTCCCTTTTTATTTAGTGTTTTACCACGTTTTATTATACAACCTCCATTATAACATAACACTTTTTTACAAAATGAGAGGTATAATATGATTTATTTTAAATTGTCATCCTTTCAGCTTTATTAAAAAAACAATCCACAATAAGAGAAAAGCCAGAAAACGGGGTTTCTGAACAAGTAGAAGAAAAGCTCGTTAAGCCTTCTGCTGCAAAGCTAGCAGACAAGGCTTCAAAATCTGGAGAAGATAAGCCAAAGTTCACTAAATCTAATGTAAAATCTATCGATAAGCAAGTAAAATTAGACGACAAAGTTACTGAAAAAGTACCGGAGAGACCAATTCTCAAAACTGTAAAAACTATTGACGATAAGGCAAAAGAAAAATCTGTTAGTATTATAGATAAAAGGTCTATAAATAAAAGTGATGCAACAAAACAAAATAACTCGGTAAATGACAAAGCTGTCAAAGCATCCAGTATTAAGGAAATAAAAAAGGAAGATACACTCACCGAAAAAACTACAGTAGATGAAAAAATTGAAGATAAATCAAATAAGACGTTAAACAATATTAATAAAGACGTCAAAAAAATAGAAAAGCCAAAAGCAGACGATAAAGAAGAAGATAAATCAAAAATGACTACCAAGCCACCTCTTGAGAAAACAAATTCTAAGGTAAATTTCTTACTTAAAGACAAAATGCTTAAGTTTTTCTTTAATATTGATCACCTTGAATATATTACGTTCAATATACTTGAATATATTACGTTCAATATATAGAAATGTGTTTATTATATTTCAGCTACTAAGAATATAAATTAAAATATATTTTCAGCTTCCACCACGCAAACCATCTCTGCAGAAAGCACCTTCAAAAGATGACATCATGCTTAAAAAATGGAGAGACCCCCTGCATGAGCGTGTAAAGGAAAATATTGATAAAACTCTAGCTAACGAAATACCCAAAGGACATACATTAACAAAAAATGAGAGTTTAAGAAGTAAGCATTCACAGTTATATTTTAGCACTCACACGCGCGTACAAAATTGTAATTTGTATTAGAAATTAACGAATCTATTATTGGCTAGAGATGCGTATCAATCAAAGAACACGCCATCGGAAGTGATATTAACTTTGGCTATCTATCAATAGATAGGTACTTGGACCAAAAAGAATTCATACTTTTATTTATATATAAATAAAATAAATGCTGCTAATATAAATAAAATTAATTTTGAACTTAATATCACGTTACTTAAATAGAAAAAAACTCGTTCTTAATTTTGACTTATAATAATAGATGAAAAAATCGAAGCTTTTAGTCATATTTATACCTATACTGAAGATATCTCTTGAAGATGCAGTCATTAACATTCCTTTTGATCTCTTGTGCTAGGCTTGTGGTCTAAATCAGGTCCAAAATAGTCTGAGATAGTTCCGCATTTGACGCGCACGCCTATCAGGTGCAAATGCAAATGCGCTAGAATAAAGTGTACAATTATTCAAAAGCCAGTAATTTCTTAAATAAGAGTTAAAATTTGAATAGTGCCTAAATTCAAATATATATCGTATTCTAACTTAGTGCAGTTCTAAGTTATTTAAAGAACGCTAATATTATCGTTAGTTTCAATGGTTCTAACAATAGTGACTGAAACAAATATTTACGACGGTAATTATTATTAATTTAATGAGCTTATTTTCTCGAAACTATCACACAAAATTCTTGTATTTACTTATTTTAATAAATGTAGAAATCATAATTACCTTTTTTTTGCAAAGGTTTATTAAAGCCAACACCACCACCAATGCCTCCGCCATTGCCACCAAAACTCCCGCCTCCACCGGATTTCAAAAAAGCTCCAGTTGATCCAACGAAGCTTAAAAAAATAGAGCAACTACGGAGCAGACCGAGGCGAAGGCCTGACTGGACCGATATGATGAAGGAAGTGGAACAAGGAAAAAAATTAAAACACGTTGTTTGTAATGATAGGTAATTAAATTATATATATTTATTGTAGAATCGTCTTTCCATTATATTTAACACTAGTTTTTCCGACGGTTCCACCCGCGTGGGAAGCGGTAGGGGGATAAAAATTGGCCTATGTCCGTTTTAGCCCCATGACATAATTTATGTAAATTGCTTCATGGTTACGAAAGTCTCATCGACACCTGCTTAGCGTTTTAAACTTATAAATGTAACTACTAGACAGACAAAGTTACTTTTACATTTACAATATTAGTATATGTATATTATAACTAACGCTGTAGAACAATTTCAGATCAAGTCCAATAATAACACGATCAGTAGTAGTCAAGAATAAGGACCAATTTATATTTGAATCTGAAAAACCTAACTCTCACAATGAGCTTCTAAAAGAAATCAATAAAGGAATAAAATTGAAGAAAGTGAAGACTAACGATAGAAGCAAACCTAATTTGGAAGGTTTAAGGAAATTTAGAAGACAAATGACCATTGAGGAACAAGTACAGAAATCCATGTCGCAAGCAAATATAGCTGCTTCTCCATCAGGTGCATCGGTGGCAGAGGTAAATATTAAAAAAAGTAAACAATAAAAAAATGAAAGAGTAAGTAACGATATAATAAAAAAAATAGTCTAGCTTATTATTCTAATCTAGCCTAAGTATATACTCTGGTACATTAAATAACTTTCATATTTAGAATAAGAAGGGTTTTTATTAAATAATTAATGTTACATATTAGGCGCCACCAGGTGCGGAAGAAGAAGAAATTGATGAAATGGACGATATCGACAAAGTTAGAGACGATCTCCAGTCTACCAAACAACTATTAGCAATAGAACTGAGGTAAATGTTACAACGGCAATATTAATCATTTTTAATTGGCGTATGTTTCTGTTATCAATAAAATGTGTGACTTCATAATTAAAGTGCTTATAAATATATTACAGGAACAAAGAAGCTCAAGAAAGAGAAAACAAGCGTTTATTAACTCGAATACATAATCTTGAAGCTGAACTTGCTAGAGAGAGAGCTATTATTAAGCAAGAGCAACATAAAACTGTTATATCAGTCACAGACGCGTATGATGAAAGGTTAGTTAATAATCTAAAAATGGAAGTTGAAAAAGCTAAAGAAACAGCAGATAATTTAGAAAAGCAATATTTGGAAGCCGCAGAAGAAAGAGATACAGCTCTCACAGAATTAGAAGAAGTGAAACGAAGAAACGCAGAATTAGAAAAAAAATTAGAACAGGCTCTTTCAGTATGTAATTTATTTATTCATTATATTACAATCTATTTTTTTAAATAAATTAACACGTAACCAATATGTTGATTTTTCTAAGTACCCTGAGAATAAAACTACATTTTTAAATCATATTGATAAACAACGTTGGATTATAATTAAATATTTATTTGATTAATATATATTTTTTCAATAACTTTATTTTATTAATTATTTGACGTCACTGCTTTGCAACTAACATGTTTTTGCTTATTCCGTAATTTACAGGACAAAATAGAAGAACTCCTAAAATCAGAAGAGCCTTTATCTTTCTATCAAAAGAGTCAGCTTGACTTTTTAAAGCAGTGTAGGTTATTGAATATAGATGTTAACTGCCCTGAAGCTCAACAACTTAAGAATAACCTTACCGACGCTAATAACAACGTTGCTAATAACGCTTTTACTAACAATAATCAAGATACTGAGGTAAAAAATAAACTCTATTATTCCTGTTGAAAATTAACACTTGCTCAGTAGAAGCACTTAATTCTTGACCTGACAAGGAAACAAAATTTACTGCATATTTTCCTATTGTGTACTCTGATTTGAAGTAAATTGAAATGGTATTATTTCAATATTGCAATATATACATACCTATAGATATAGAATGAAATTAATGTTTTTACTATGGCTATTTTAGGGAATCATACCCACAAATGTTGGATCAAGACGTTCCAGTCACGCCATCAAACAACTCTCCGTAACAAGGGATGACAGTTTTGAAGAAGAAGAGGAATCAGAAGAAGAAGAGGTACTGTTTGAGCTTTATTAGTTGAATTATTTTTAATGTATTATTACTTAAACTATTATTAATTATTATGTCGATGTCTCATTACAATGCCGTGTTGCTTATAATTAGGGAATCATTTAGTCTAGATCGTTATTTTGTCATTTCATGTACTACTTACTCTATGGATGTATGCTCCGTCAGCGACATAAAGTAATAAAAAAATAATAAAAATAAATACGAGAACGGCTAGATTAATGAAATGTCCAGTACATTTTATAGACTATTTAATGAGTGATCGACTAAATAAATAAAAACTTTTCGTTAATTGTTAAGTAAGATAATTAGTTCCACAAAAATTATTATAATTATAATTTCATTTTGATTAAGTAAGTTTTCTTGCATTACTGTAAAAAGCAAATGTGTTGTCAGTGTTTGCAAACTAAATTAAAACAGGCGCACATACCTACCTAAATTACATTATTTTTTTTGGTTTTCGGTATTTTTTTGGTATTTGTTAAGTCTAATGCTACTGATCATTTTAGATATACGAAATTACTAATGGAAAGATTTTGTCACGTTTACACTCAAAACTATGCTATTCATTTTAGTGGTGCTAGTGATCGTCACATATGTACATACCTACATAAATCACATAGTAGGTATTATTTGAGGTGTAGCTTAGGTGATAAGGTTTTAAAGCATAATATTTTTATAAATTATGATACTAAACTAATTTGCAGGAAGAGAGTGAAGAAAAGAAACAAAAGCGAATAGAAAAAGAAATTCGCAATATGAGGAATAAGATAAGACACTTAAAGGAGAAACAAGACAACATGAAGAGAGAAAGGATGGGATACAAGATGGCACTTAAGAATCAACAGGCGTGCTTAAAGTTAGTATACTTTTTCAATTTAGATTGAAGCCTTCCTCTCACGAAGATATTTATAAACTCTGCGACTATGTCGTGGCTCAATCGAATCGGTTTTTGCAAACGACCCTTTTTTTTTATGTCGGGAAATGCATTTACGCATACCACCTGATCCCCCAGGTGGTGATGTGGGGCTCACCGGCTAGAAGAGCCGGTACTACCCACTAAAACCCGACATTCCCCTCTCCTCCGCCTTAATGGGACGCCGCAGGATCGCTTGCGCATAACTACTACGGCGCCCCGGCGGCAGGTCTGCCTAAGCGCTAGGCAGACCACCAAACCAATGGGGCTGCTCCACAGTCAACTCTGCTACGCCAGAGAGGTACCCGGAGCAGCCCCATTAAACATAACCACCGCCCACCGAAGTGGGCCACCTCCAATCGACTGCAGAGGACAGGGAGAGCGGCAACGAAACACCGATACTCCTCTTCCCCTGCAGCCCCACCGCGTCCGCCATCAAACGGTGGCGGCCCCGTCTAGGCCGCGGAAGGTAGGGAGAACGGCGCACCGAAATACCGGCACTCCTCTCCCGCCGCGGCCTACTCCTCCGCCGGATGCGGGCCTGCGACCACAGTCCCGCAACCGGCACCCATCATCCGGTTGTGGGACCAAGCGGTCCCACCACCGGTGGCCGCAACGTCTTCGGCTCGAGTCCTAGACGAGCGGCCCCACCCAAGCCATTTGGTCCGCGCCGGATTTCTCCGGTACCACCCGCCGCCCTAAGCGGGTGGCATTCCCCTATCCGCCACCTGGGGACGCGCCCGGTAGGAGTTGGCTTCTCCCCCGGGTTCGCAAACGACCCTACCCAAATTCTAGTATATTCGTTCTTTCTTTGTTGAGTTATCGGGTACAATGTCAACTGACTCTAGCGTTGAAGACCATTTTAGCTATTTTTACATCAATATTAATATTATAAATGCGAAGGTGTATTTGTTTGTTTGTGTGTTTGTTTATCCTTCTTTCACGTCAAAATGGAGTGACGGATTGGCGTGATTTTTATGTGAAGATACCTACGTACTTAACATTCTTCAAAATTCATCCTATAAGGAGGTAAAATAGGGGATAAAAGTTTGTATGAAACCTACTTTTCTAGAGATTTTTTTGTAGTTTTAGCGCGAGCGAAGCCGCGGGTTCTGCTTACTAGCACTTACTTACTTACGCCTATCCTATAATAATACTTTATTATAGGATAGGCGTAAAGAAGATTTCGGTGCACCCTCACACTGAAAAAATATTAAATATATATTAAATTGAATTTTTGCTCAATTTCAAACCACACTTTATCCGCTATATCCTTTCTAACGTATTCGGATAATTTATAATTGTACAAATAAGGATAGTTTTCAACTTCCAGTACAAATTTTATTTAGAATTGTATATAAACGATAAAAGTTAATATTATATAATTACAATATGTACTTTAAAATGTTATACAGCTGTGAGCACGTGTCTAAATATTTCTCTCTAACTATAAATACAACTATTGGTAGATCTATGTGTCTCAATTAAAAATTCTTTTACAGAGAAGAAAAGCGTAAATTTAAGGAGCTGAAGCGCGAAGTCGATAAAATGGCTGCAATGATGAAGGAAGTTGGTACAGATGAAGAAGATGATGATGAGGAGGATGAAGAATCTGAGGAAGAAAAAAAGAGTGAGACCGAGGAAGAAGAGGAAACTGAGACCGAAACCGAGCAGGATACTGAGAGTGAAACCGAAAGTGAAAGCGAACCGGAGGTAAGAAATATTATTTATAATAAATCAAGCCAGGTAAAAGTAAAAGCTTAACATAGTAAATCATTACTAAAATTTTCAAGACATTACTTAATAACGATGTTATTTTCCAGGATGCACCTTTACCTAAAAAGAAAGACAATCTTGTGAAGCGCTTGAAAAGACACGAAACAAGAGTAAATGCCTTGAAGAAAGGCAACACACTTCTCATGGCGAACGTTGATCGACTGAAAGATGATGTACTCATACAAAAAGAAAAATCTCTTACACTCCAGAAAGAATTGGATTCACTTATTGATGATCTAGATTAAAAAAAATGACAGTACTAAACACTTCTACAGCTTTTTAATTTTAAGTATTTTGCTTTTAAATTTATGGCACTTGAATAATTTAACATGTTATTAATTTATGGAAGTATCTATTGTTAAACTGATATTAAAATTTGATTAAAATATGAAAACTTGAAATAAGTCATAATGAGCATGTAAAAAAAGGAATTGATAAGTTATGGACCTAATACCACTACTTTGCTAGACCTACAACGTAAAGCTCGATGCGTCTGTATATATGTATATTATTATATGATATATCCATTATCTATGCCGCTAGCGAGGAATTGTAACGCAAGCTTAGAATAAGTCAAGTAGAAAAAAAGAGGTAGGAATCGGAAAAACTGTCACACTGATTTTGGGACACTAGTGTGAACTACCTATTTGTACTATAGCAATATTGCTTAATAGTATTAGATATATAATAATGAAGTAATGAAATCGATATCCAATTATATATTATAATTTGTGAGGCGTTTTTATTTGGCTAAACGCTGTAACTGGAATAACATGTACTTGCCTTACAAATAGGCCAGCTATTATAGTTAATGACATACTCGTACGTATTATGTACATGTGATAAATTATAATAGCTAAATTAAAATACCTATTTTGGTATTTGGAAGCTGTTTATATTTTATGATTGTTTTCTGCACAAATGTATAAAATTGTACTTTACATAACCTTTTACCATGAACGAAGTAACCACTCGTTCATGCCTTTTGTTAATTCGTTCATGCCTTTTACTTATATTAAAATGGCTTGGGAATGATATTTCTGTATATTTAAAAATGATTTTTTAGTTAGCCTTGTAAATAAACACATGTCGTTCATTTATATTAATTTACGCTTCTTTTAATTCCTGGTAATTACTTAACTACAAGTACTTTTGTATAACTTTTAATTACACAATAAATATTTTTCACAAATGATTAATGTCTATTAATTACTATTGTATAGTTACTAGCTCACCCGAGGGATGTTGTTTTATCTCAATTGCAATAGAATTTATGATCTTTGAGGTCATACAAAAGTTTTATAGAAAAAATTATTTCAGCTTCTCCCGATGTGTGATTTTTTCGGACAATTAAAAACCATGCTCGGACTATTACGAACAATTTAGGAAAAGTCTTTTTAGCCAAATGGTCCAGCAGTGATCAAGGAACAGTATTCGATTTTTATTATATCATATTTGAATAATTATTTACTGATATACCTCTACTTAAGAACTCAAAGTTACAAAAGCTTAAAGATAAAATCTGAAAGATACTCGACAAGGCTAAAGGAAAGCACTAACTGAATACAAAAAAGAAGGCAAAGGAGGAGTCTCAATAAACTGCTCTCAAAAACCAAAAGAGACTTCTCGGAAAGGTTGATGGCTCTTTTACAATTAGTGAAACGGAGTCGGTGGTCGTTCATAATACGCGCATAATCGACGAGTTATTGAAACGTGGTGTGCATATTTGATATTTGTTAATAAAAAATTGATATAGGCACATTGTAAAATATGAGTCGACGATGCGTTAAAACCTTTGGATAAAGCGTCATTGTGTACAAAGATGCTAAGTTGGTTTTAATTTATTTTTCATAGATATCTTAAAAACAAACATTGAGTAGAATGTATTATTTTTATAACTAAAAATACAGAATAATAAAAAAATAAAATTAACTTTTACAGGCAACATTAATCAACAAAAATGACAGCTGTCGCAACTATTTAACTAGAGAGTCTGTAGTCTGTACTAGTAGTCAACACTCAACTGACAAAACGTCTGTCAAATTTAAAATTATTATTTGTAAGTTGTAACTGATTTGGTTGTTGTGAAAAATGAATGAGATTTATATTTTATAAGATTTTTTATTATAATTAAACATTTAATTATATGGTCTTTAATAAGTACTTAGGTTTTTAATATTTTGTTGATAAAATGGCACCTACGGATGTAGAAGTACAACAAGCGGTTGGGAAGCCAAACCCGCGAAACAATTCAACTATGTTCAAAATATTTCAAAATGTTCAATACAATGTGGTTCAACATAAAAAATATGTGAAGGAAATGATAAAGCTTTACAAAAAGGTAGGAATATATATAGTATTTATTTCCATAATCATCAATTTAATACTCACTAAAATGAAACGACGTCAATTGATATATTTTATTATTTACAGATCGACCAGGACTTTTTTAGAGAAAGTTTTAAAAATGCTCTTCACTATTTATTCACATTTGGAGATACAAGTGCGAATGTAGATCGTGTTATTCAGTTTGTAGCAACATTTTGCACATCTCTTGATGATGAAGAAGAGTTTCTTATGTTTATTTTTGAAATAATTTTTGATGTAAGTGTTTTCTATTCTATTCTTCGCACCAACGCTCCTTTCATTGATTATTTAATTCATGTGGGTATGTTTTAGTGTCAATGTGTATCTGGCCAATCAGTCAGATATAGAGCAAGTCAACTGCTGGCAGCCGTACTTGCAGCTCTTGGTGATGATGCCTCACTGGATGATGATTTATGTGATAAATTACTTACATCACAGGTAAAACAACAGTGTCGTACTTAAGATAATTCACTTAGAATATTATGATAAAAAACCTTATATATGTACCTAATAAAATATTATACATGAAAGATTTAAGCAAAACATTGACTCAGTGCTTATTTCTCTAAATGACCAAGTTACGAGTTTTTAATAAAGAATTATTAACTATTGAATGTTAATTCTATTGATATAAAATACACATTTTACTTAAAATATTATTTAACCTAAATATATAAACGTCTTAGAAATAAAGCTTTATTTTTAAAATAGAGGAATAATATTCTCTATTGTAAAATACAGCAAGTTGGTGGTTTGAACAAATAAGGAATTTAAGTTTCTGTTATATCTTCTTAACAACAATTTGCTAGCTTTTTTGTAAAATTTGATACATTATATTAATTGGTATCAATATATTATTAAAATAGTGATAATAAGTTTGTGAATACTTGTATAAAACATGAATAAATTTTTATTTATTTTTTTAGATGAATATTTACAAAAGTATTATAATATATACATTAATATTTAAATAAATTTTGTTATAGATGCAACGTCTTCAAGATACTCGTGGTGCTGTGAGATGTCGCGCGGCCCTTGCGTTACAGCGTCTGCAAAATCCAATGGAGCCAGATGATGAAGTAACAAGAGCCTACCGTTTTCATATGAGCTGTGATCCAAGTTCTTCTGTGAGAAGGTAGATCATTGTGTAAGATTTATATTTGCTTTCAGACTATTTAGTCTGGTCTAGACTAGTCACTATCTCAATGTCGGAAATTAGAGGTCTTATTGGCATTTCTACACAAAATACTATACTATGATAGTTTAAATTTACTTCATACAAAAAAGGTATTAGTGCAACTAACTAAACGAAATAATCTTATTTTAATGTAATTAATAAGCAATTTTTATTACTAAAACTTCTGTTTCAGGGCTATAGTAATGTCAATAGCAAAATGTACTCGTAATGTTCCATTTGTCCTTGAAAGGCTTTGTGATGTTGATGAAGCAGTGCGGCGTGCTGCTTTTCTACATATATCTGCTATAAATGTTACACAGTTAAGAGTTCGACAACGAGTACTTACATTGAAGGTAATATAGACACAACATAAGGTATAACATATAAAAAAATACTTTAAAAAAAAGTGCATTATTATTATTTTTGTTGACTATAGAAATATACACAAGAGATATTCACAATAAGAAAGGAGAAATAAGTTATTTATTGTGCACATTAACTCATGGACCAGCATTTAAATAATGAAGATTAAACTCATGCCATGCTCACCATTGGTTATAGTCATTGCATTAATTTAAAAAAAGAAAGTTATTTATGTAAACGATTATTATGTAAATTAAAATTAATTACTTAATAATAATGTATTAATGATACGTCTTAATTATAAAAGTTTGCATATAATTATTATAACAAAAATGTGAAAGTATTATTAAAAGATCTCAACAAATTAAAAAGGTATGAAACTTTAAAGTTGCGCTTGTGACGTCACATGACCTAAATGACCAAAATTTAAATTAAAAATATCACTACCAATAAATAAAAAGCAAGCAGTAGTACGTAAAATAACTAGGAACACACACTAGTGTGAGACCGCAAACTTAAGCAATTATTTTCTCAGTCATTTATTGATGAGTTTCAAAAAAAAATCACTGACTTATTAGTTTTGATCTATATTATAATTCCATTGTGTTAAACCAACATAATGAAACTTCTCCATAGAAGTGAGGTAATTTTATCAATCTTTATCATGATAGGTGGGTCTGAATGAACGCAGTCCGCGGGTACGTCGCGTCGTAGAAGAGATAGTCATTCCGAGCTGGTTAAGCACTTTTCAAGGGAATATAGTAGACCTACTAAAAGCTATTAGATTGGATAATGCTCATGATGCGAAAGACTCGCAATATGTTGCAGGAAAACTTTTGGAGTCATTATTTAAGTGAGTGTTCGTCTTTCTTTGTTTTTATTAACATTCTAGTTTTTTTTTATTTTCATAATTAAATTCTAATTTAAGGTGTATGTTAAGCTATCATTAATCTATAACGAAATCACGTTCAATTATTAGGGTTCTGTACCCAAAGGGTGCCTCACATATTAACAATAGGATGCCTGTTACTAAGCCTCCGCTGATTATCCGTCTGTCTGGTCAGCGGGCTGTATCTCATGAACCATATTAGCTAGAGAGTTGAAATTTTCACAGTGTGTACTACTACTGCCGCTATAACGACAAATAATAAAAAAACAAGATGGCAAATTTCATGACCGTCATACAAATTAAAAAACAGCGATGATGGTACGAAACCCTTTTATTGTTTTTAAATTTCTTTGGATATAACTAAATAAGACCAAATAGTTAAAGCTAAAATAATGTAATTTCTTTAAATGTCCATCAAGATTTATATTGTTTCTATACCACTGTTAACAGGCGGCTTCCTATATCAGAGCTATTAGAATGGCTTCCAACGGACAAAACTCTTCGACTCATACCTGCTGAAAAGCTCAATAAAGAAACAACCTGGTACTGGCGCCATCTTGCCGAACATTTGCAGAGAATAGAAGATGATGAAACATTAGAAACTGTTTTGCCTGATCTGATTGTGTTGACTGGATATATAAGAGCGTGAGTCTTTTTTTAATATATTTATTACTAATGATATACTTGAAATTACGTTTTCACGTTTAGTATAGATTTCTCAAAGATGAGATATTTTCCCGCAGTAAAAAGTATACTATATGTTGACCTAAATAACCATCTATCACCATATCAAATTTCATCAAAATCTGTCCAGTAGATTTCTCGTGACGCGGTAACAGACCGACAGATAGACAAATATTCTAAAAACTATAGATTCGGCCTCTGTATAGATGATAATGACTATTTCAATAAGATTTTGCAAAAAATATTTAATGTACAGATTCGGCTTAGAATTTTATTATATGTATAGATTTAAATGATTTCAAAGAATTTGTAAAATATGATAAATTGCTTGGAAACATTAAAATAAATCATATACGCTTCGGAATCGAATTCCGAGGGCTTTTTAATCACACAGTATTATCAATAAAATTATTAAATAAAGTCCAAAATCTACAGAATTATGGAGTCACCATGTCCCTCCGAGACTGAGGATCCAGTGGGCTTCGGCACCCGTCAATACGTACTGCAAGAGCTAGGCTGCATGTTGCGGGTGTACGACGCCAGCGACCCCGCCGGCCGCACCGCCTTGCAGACACTAATCACTGATATGCTTACTGGTAAGAGAGAATGGAAGCTGAATGTATTCAGCCCTTTTTAACGTCCCACTACTGAGCACGGGTCTCCCTTCAGTACGAGGGGGATCAGGTCATAGTCCACCACGCTCGCCAAGTGCGGGTTGGCGGACTAGCATATATTATTTATTATGATTGAATAACAGATGAGGGTATATATTTCTTATACCGGATCTCGCACCATATGTAATTACTAATACAATGAGCCCACATGTAGATGCATATACGATACGCTATAACTAAAATTATAACATTTTTTATTTAAAACTAGGCTGTACAGTTAGGTACGCAACTATTGAATTATTTTGTGTATTCAGCCCTTTTTGATGTCCCACTGCTGGGCACGGGCCTCCCTTCAATACGAGGGGGATCAGGCCATAGTCCATCACGCTGGCCAAGTGCGGGTTGGCGGACTTCACATGTCTTTTCGAAAACTTGCTAAGTTCTCTCAGACATGCAGGTTTCCTCACGATGTTTTCTTTCACCGTTAAGACAAGTGGTAATCATGTTGGAAGCTGAATATATATTTTTAATTTATTTTGACTGTAACATATATGTGAGGTGTAAATGTATTATGAAATAACAATTGTATTAATATATATGAAAATGTATGGATGGATGTTATTACCTATATTGCGGCGATCACAATAGACCAGAAATGGTCGCAGTGACACGAAATAGTCGCAAAACAGAAAAATATCACTTATATTTATATGAATGTAAATATAAATGTATAATATTGAAGGATTTTTTTAATATTTCTCTACTAGCATATCTAGTGTCCATCATTATGGGATATATTATAGTGCACAAGTATAACTATGACCTTAAACACTCGTGTACTCAATACCTTCACTTTCAACATTCACTATGACTACTCCCACACTACTGGAAAGAGATCAATAGATCCCATGGTTTTGGCACTTACAGGATCACAGGGGTGTTATACCCCCTATATGTTAATTTTAGCATGTTACTAAAAGTTCCATTAATTTTGGGACCGACTAAACTCGTACTTCAAATCAAATTATCTGAAGCCGCATAAGTTGATCAATAGGCCAAGCCAATACCAACAAGGTTCTCTTTAATATCTATTCTATGGATAATAATATAATAATAATTTAGCAAAAATTAATTAATTATATATTTTCTAAAGACTTTGTACTTTATGCTAACATAACCTAGGTACAATGAAAAGTGCATCACATATAATGAATTGTTAAATACTGTTCTTCCCAGGTGACTATGGTCCTCTCAACGCAGACGTAATACGCGCGTTTGTGTCAGCCCTCGAACTGGCAGTACCGGATATAACGCCCCGAATAGAAGTTATATGTGGAATGGTGAATGCGTTGCGGGAGCCGCCGGAAGTTGAGGAGGAAACAGTGGCGCCAACGCCTGTAGACTGTACGGAGATTAAACTACAGGTACAATATTTTTTACAGATGTATTTACTATTACTTAAACTTCAAAAAAAGAAAGTTCTCGGTGAGTTTCACTCTATTAGGAAACTTCTAGAATAGTCCAACTTGCAGATAATAATTATTCAGAAAGTAATTCATTTTTTTCCATAATTAGTTAATATTGTTAAGTCGTTATAATTTTTGTGTATGTTTTTTTGTTTTAAGTTGTATCACATTTAACATTTTTAATATATACAAACTTTATAATACCTGAAACGAATTAATAAATCAATTAATATAAATTATTGTAGAGGGCAAGACTACGTGTGTCTTTAAACGTCGCCATAGAGGCGCAAGAGGAAGCTGTTAGAGATGAAAACTATGCGCTGGCTGCTGAATGTAAAGCTAAAGTAAGTAATACTTTTTAATTAATAATAAATAATTAGTCCTTGTTGTGTAAGATTTTGTATTATTATTCCATTAAGAATATTGAAACAAAAAACAAATAAGCAATTTAAAAGTTATCAGGTCATGACATATTTCTAAACTAATTCAAAAAGGAGGTTTTTCTAGCTTAAGTGAATAAACCTTTTTATATAATTTTGAAGTCTGTTTACTTTTTTTATTTAAATAGTAATTATTATTTACTAATTATGAAACTAATTTGAAGGTTTCATTGTTATATTAGTACTAACTGTTATATTGTTTCATTACAGGTAGCAGATATCCAAAAAAAGTTAGAAGACTTGAAAGTTCAAAAATCACCTCCACCACCACAATCTATGGCAGTAAGAGTGTTATCCATATTAATATTATAAATGTGAAAGTTTGTGAGTATGGATACTTGTTACTCTTTCACGCCAGAACGGCTGAACGGATCTGGATGAAAGGCACAGAGATAAATTATAGTCTGGAATAACACATGGCTACTTTTAAGAATATATGGTATCCAGAGGGATAGATTTGTTCTTGTTTTTCTAGTATAAAATAATTTTTAATTAAATTCTTATCAAAGCTTGTTATATTTAATATGGATAAAAACATTTTAAATGGAATACATTTAGTTTAAATAATGATTAACTTAACCATACTCAAGTACATGCTAAAAAGGTATATTTTTATAAATTTTCAGACAATCAAGGAAAAACAATGTGATACAGCAACATTAAATAAATGTTTGGTAATACTTAATAGTGCTCTTGATACTCCACAACTGAAAACTATCACTCCTATGTTGCAGATGATTTTCTCTGAATTAGAGGTAAACTGCCTTTATGTATCCTAACTTTTGAATTAGATTCAAATTAATAATTATAGTCTACAGTCCCTGACGGTTTTTTTAAATGATTAATAACAAGCTAAAACTTCATCAGTAGCTTCATTTTGATGAGTCTATTGAGACAGAGAACTTCATCACTGTGCCAGAGACATATCCGAGTGTACGACTGAGAAATCCTACAATTTTCTTTGTAGGATATTTTGATCATTCAATTATGCATATTTTTAATAATAAATACTATGAAAAACAGCTAGATATTAATAATTTTTATGATTTTGTTATTTTAATAAGCTTGTTAAAAACCATTTGTTTTGTATCACAGCATTTTTTTTTCTGCCTTTATATTGGATTATCTCAAGATTAAATAGTAAAACAATCTGTTAGTAGTAAATTTTAGACAATCACCATTTCAACATGTTCTGTATCAATCTAAAATTGTAATTACCACTATCAAACTTTTGTAGAAAGAAAAGTTGGGTGTCTCGTCAAAACGAAGCTACTCATAAAGTTTTAGCTTTTTAATACTCATTAAAAACCCATTGGGGACTGTAGACTATTGCTGTTCTGAATCGATTTATTTTGTTATAAGATTTATCAATTTATGCAAATATATTTTTGTATCTTAACAATATTCATAAAAATAGGATTTATTTAGATATTTTGTTAATTTCGTTTTTTTTAGGCTGAAATATTTCAAAATCCAGAATTATTAGACAATGCCCTTGAGACTGTTGCTCTGTTTGGAATGCTGGATAAGGATTTTGCTAAAGATCACAAAGCATTTTTCTTTGCAAATGTAAGTACATATGTTTATATCTATAAAAATTAAAAAATATCTATTATTAGCTTTATATTTTTATTTTCTTTATAGTGTCTGAATCCCAAAATTAACTATTTCTTTCATACATTGACAATTTTGCCTCACCTACATAAGCAACCGTTAAAAATTAAATCCATACTAATATTATAAATGTGAAAGTGTTTGTTTGTTTGTCCTTCTTTCACGTCAAAACGGAGAGACGGATTGACGTGATTTTTTGTGTGGAGATAGTTGGTGGGCTGGAGAGTGACATAGGTTACTTTATATCGCATACTTGTAAGTGTCGCGGGAGATCTAATACAATAAAAAAATGTAGATATAATACAATAAAAAAATTTGTTACTGATCAGAATTACTAAAAACTTGGTATTAACTATTAATGCTCTTCAATACAAATAAATAAATACGTGTTTTAGCATTTTTCGAAATTCATCCTATAAGGGGGTTAAATAGGAGATGAAAGCTTGTATGAAATCTAGGTACCACCTACCTCTTAGAGATTTTTTGTAGTTTAGCGCGAGCGAAGCCACGGGTTCTGCTAGTTATTTATAATTCTCATTCTTTAAAAAAATTATGAGTGCGTGTATCAATGTGTACACGCGCAAGAAGTGAAGCTTCTGTAGGTTATCGGTAATCTTTATGAAATTCAATTTATGTTTCAAGTATTATTTATTTAAATTTTTTTATCTATTAACAAAGGAATACAATACTTTATTATTTACGTAGTACAGATGGTGTTGAGATAAAATTTAATTTTCAATCAAATTTTATGATTCAACAAAATAAAGAATAATACAGCGATGCAAATTTTTTTGTGAAAAAAAATTATTATAATTATAATGTATAAAAATTATTTCAAGTAAATATTTTAATTATATTTATTTGATATGATTCCATCGCTCATGTTTCACTTCCGTAACGTAATGGTGCAGCGTCACCGTTTCCATGCCAATGCCATTCTTCTTTTTCTGTCTCATGGTTCATGGTTCATGGTTCTAAAGAAGTTTCACGTTAAAAAATAACAATATGTTTTATTAATTTCCAGCTAATAGATACAAGTAACGAGCCAACAGTGACGACGGTCCTCAAATGTATTGTGGATTTACTCTGCGTGCACGGCGCGAGCGTGTTCGAAGATGATAATGCGCTAAATGAATCTAAAGCCGCCGTGAAGAAGCGTATCACGCATCACTCTATTGACGCTATCGATGCGGATGGTAAAGTCAATAAATTATTATTTTTGTATTAAATCTAAAGGAGAGCTTGTTATATAATGGATGGAGTATGAAGTAGTCCAGGTGTAAATAACATATCTCTATGCAAAGCCTAGTCTAAAAAAATGTCTCGTTTATATTTCTCAATATCCTTTAAAATGCAAAAATTTAATCTGTATCTTTTTTTAATCATATTCGTACACATAGCGTTGCTACAGTTTAATAGGAAGATCTTTTTAAGAGGAATAATTCTGTAATACATTGCTTTCATATAACTTTATTAGTTTAAGCGACGCACTCCAATAAAGCTTCCATTTGGCATGATTTTTCCCGACATCTTCAACAATCATCGAAATGTATTATTTCAGGTGTTATCGAATGTATTTATTATTTCAGGTACAATATCAGAATCGGCTTTATCTCTATCTCCTACCCACAGTACTGTGATAGAATTGCTTTTGAAGATAATGGATAGTGCAGTAAGTTATTTTCTTCTTATACAGTTAGTATTATCAATATGTCTAACTAATTATCCAAGGATATCATATTTTTTTATGTAACTAATCTCAGTGAGACTAGACCATAGACGTACGACCACTCTAGAAAGGGAGAAAACGAACGTGCGGCCAATACCTGTCTTTTATTCCAATTTAAATTTATAAATAGAATGTAAAAAAATTATGACAGTGTGATAAAAAATGGTTATAAATATAAATATTTATCTATCTTCAAATTAATCGTACTTCAATTAATAAAGAAGACTTCTAGCCACACATTCGTTTTGTCTCTGTCGCGCCTTTACGCCATATTTAGGTTACGGCTGGCAAAGCAACACTCGGTCTATTTTCTATTATTTATTATATTGAATTCAACATATTATATACTACAGTAAAACCAGTTCAGTGGTGAGAAACCTGTGCTACTGATAACTACAATGAGGTCCCCACATTTTTACCTTGAAATATCTAACTAGAAACGACCTTCACCCATCTGTTTAAAGGATGAAAAGTATTTTATATCTAATTTAATATATTAGAAAATATATCTCGAGTGGGTTGCCTAAAAAATTCCTGGCCAGACAATAATAAAAATTGAAAAAACGATTTTTTATTAAATATTGCACTCATGAGTTTTACGAATAAATCTAATACCACCCAAAAGTATGAAGCCCATAGTTAGCATAGTATATACAAACGTATGTCTCACACTTATTAGGATATTATATGGTAATTTTATCTATATAATATGAATTAAACGAAAAAGATCTTATATTTTGCAGTGTTCAACATATAGACTTATAATAGTGGAAGGGTTGTGTCGTCTCATATACCTCGGGCATCTCGAATCTCCAGCCATACTAAGCAGACTTTTACTGCTCTGGTTTAATCCTGCTACAGGTAATTTGTGATAATTAAAGTCTTATTATACTAGTGGTAGACCAGTGGTAACGCGCTTGCTTGGGAAACTGAATGAATCAGGTTCAAATTTGTGGTCACCTCTGATATTTTTATGTGCGAATCATTCCTAACATGATTACCACTTGTCTTACGGTGAAGGAAAACACGGCGAGGAAATATGCATGCTTGAGAGAACCTAGGAAGTTTTCAAAAGACGTGTGAAGTCCGCCAACTCGCACTTCGCCTGTGCGGTGGACTACGGCCTGATGCCCCTCATATTGAAGGGAGACCTGTGCCCAGCAGTGGGGCGTTAAAAAGGGCCGAATACAAAGTCTAACTAACATAGAAATTATGTACACACTGGTTTTAAATGAATAGGTTACAAAATTCTTTTTTATTTTTCGTTTTCCATACATCCAGAACAGGGTCAATATTTTTGTACTTTTTTTTATGTAATACATTATTCTATTGGAATATCTATTTTCTTAAATTAACTTGTATTATTATCTCTTTTAGCGTATTTATTCATGTACTTATATTTATTTTCAGTCGAAGAAGATAATCTGCGACAAACAATTGGTATCTTTTTCCAAACATTCCCCAATAGTGTAGAGGGAGCTCACGAACAATTACAGGTTAGTTCATCCATTCCAAAAGAAAGAATAGTTATACAGTTAAATATCTGTTACAAAATTTTGTAATTATTATTTATCTTATTACTTTTTGTTTTAAGAAAGCCACATTGCCAACCCTCCGAGCGCTTGCCAATGCGCCATCGAGTTCGCCTATCGCCGAAATAGACCAGGAGGCAGTTGTTAGATTCATAGTATCTCTAACTAAAGTCAATCATGAGGTATACATGGTGTTTCATTACAAATCAATACTCTGCATAAATATTTAATATTTTTACTATAAAAGGTTGATTAAAGAATTCCTAACTATAATTGTCCCGACGGTCATATAAAATAACGTTTCTTCCGCATTTTCCACACGACTGTCTGTCTAGACGCCTTCGTTCGACGACTGTATAGATTAGTAGGCTGTGCTAAATAAATTGTTGCTATTTTATGATTTGTTTACCTTTAGTTAAGTACCTGAACCTATGAAGTATAGGTATATATGTGTATAAATGTATGTGTGTATAATATATATACGTATATATTTGTTTGTCTATGTGTGTATTCATTTGTAGATCTCTTTAAGGTTGTTTGCACCCCTTCCTTCTCTCTTTCTACTTAAACGTTGCCTAGAATAGATCGCTCCCTAGCTAGAAGGCCACCTATTGTACTATTCCTCTTTAATCCGTTTCAACTATGTAATGTAAAATAATGGTGTGCAATATAGATATTTGACATTTTTAATAACTTTTGAGATGTCTAAAACCTTAGTCTCTCACATGACCATGATCGCTGTAAAGCATTCGAAACATCAGGAACAAAAATCAAAATTTATCCGCGAAAAGATTCGCGTAAAACTAAGAAAGTATTAAAAGAATACTTGATTAGATTCATTCACACATTCCAGCTACTGGACAGTCAAGGCGCGATGGCGCTGGCGCTGGTGGGGCACCTGGCGCGGCGGCCGGCCTGCGCCGAGGCGGCGCTGGCGTGCCGCCTGCTGGCGCTGCTGGCGCCGCCGCGCGACGCGCGCGTCGCCTCGGACCTCATCACTATGCTCAGAGATCTCACTCTGGTGAGTTCTGTACACTTTTGGTTAACATATTTTTATTATTATCACCTGTAACTTAATATGCCAGATTGGTTAGTCATTAGTGTGTTATCTCCTTATGTATTTTTATAAGCAAGCACTTATAATTAAATATATATGTATAAGTACATATTCGCGTGGACAGAATTTAGCTTTGATTTTGTATGTGACACGTTATCTTGTAGTATTGTTGATCGAAGGTACCATGTGACGCGCATGTCGCCTCAGACCTCGCCACTATGCTGTAAAATCACTGGTGGGTTTTGTAAAGTCTCTCCTAACATATTTGTATTAAGTTCGCGTCTAATAAATATTTGTATAACTAAATCTTTAAAGTCAACTTTGAGCTAGCTACTCCTATTGTGTGTATACCATCCAGTTGTAATACACTCGTATTATTATTTTAATTTTGTTTACGTCATCTTGGCATTTCAAAAATGTAAATATAGTTAAAAATGTTTCAATTAATCTAATATAACATTATAAATATATATTAAAAAAAAATATTTCATATCACAAAGATAGCTGTTTTAAACATTTCCTTTCCGGCGCTTGCATTGCTGTTACCAACATACGCCTATTTATTGTTTCAGATGATTCTCAAATTGTTATTATACTGTCAAAAATTAAACAAGTGCGTGTTGGGCCATGTGCAATGTAGGGTTCCGTAGTTGCCCATCACAATAATGCGAACTAAAAAGAGGTCGACTGTCAGTCGTAAACTTGTAAAGCCTACTTAGCTGTGATGGTTTTCCTTCTTCTATACATATAATAAAATTCTAACTAAGTCAAATCTGTACATTAAATATTTTTTGGAAAATCTTATTGAAATAGACATTATTATCGATACAGAGGCCGAATCTATAGTTTTTAGAATTTTTGTATGTCTGTCTGTCTGTCTGTTACCGCATCACAGAAAAACTACTGAACGGATTTTGATGAAATTTGGTATGGTCATAGCTGATTATCCGGGTCAACATATAGGATACTTTTTACCGCAGAAAAATATCTTATTTCTGAGAAAAAATACAAAAACTGGTTAGAATAAAAAAACGATGATACTATATATATTTTAGCAAGTTAACTTACTAAATATGTCAAAAACTATTAAAAATAGCTAATCTTGAAAAAGTATATCAATAGCACTATCTATTCATTAAAAAAATTATTTTAATGAATATTTATTTTGTATTATTTAAATATTTGTCAATAGATGTCGCCATGTGTCTTTAAAATACGTAGTCTTAATTCCAAAAAATTGAATGTACAAATTCCACCTTTCTATGATTTTATTAGAATTACTACTAAACTACCCGCGGCCCCGCCCGTGTTTAAATTATCAAAAAACGATATTTTTGGATTTATTAATTAGTTACATCTATAGATACATTAAAACTTAATGAAGCAGTATCTGGGCTTTAAATATTTTTTGGAAAATTTTATTGAAATACACATTATTATCGCTAACAGAAGCTGAACCTATAGTTTTAAGAATTTTTGTCTGTCTGTGACCGCATGACAGAAAAGTCACTGGAGGGATTTTGAAGAAATTTGGTATGGTAATAACTGTTTATCCGGGTCAACTAATATAACTACTAATACGAGTATACTAATATATAAAATCTAAGAATTTGGTTTTGGTCATATGAACGCGGGCGGAGCCGCGGGCAATGCTAGTCATTATATATAATACTATTACCGCGATTTCTTTTACATATCCAAAAACAACCCTAGCTGGCTTGGGGGACAAAAATTAGCATTTTAAAGCTTAATATTTCACAAGTCACACGGATCCCTTAATCAAACAATTGTTTTCACAAATCCTGTAAGTCTTGATTAACTAGTTCCATACTGAAATTTTTCAAGCAATGCAAAATACTTAATAACCGCGCGCAATTCATTTTTTTCCATTTTCGACAATACGCTACAACAGACTGCAAACAAAAGACTTCCATTTTAAAAAAAAACAAAAGTTAGCCAAATTATTTTCTTTTATTAAATCTAATGAATATTCCAGCTTTACCAGCCAGTATAAACTTTTTTCGGTTCCAAAGAGTTATTACCTCATTCTCGCTTTATAATGAACACCCTACGTAAAGGACTGTAAAAACTTCTCATCAAATAATACCACACAATACTATGGTGTCACCTACACAAATGTGTGTACCTACAGAAATGGTTCCTGCGTTTAACAATAAAGTTTTTTTTTCAGAAACTGCCAGACAAACAGTCGTGTCGAAATCTAACACGGTATCTTGGATCTTTAGAAGCCCTAGAACGTGCAAGTCTCAATAAAATGTCAACAGGTAAATTAGTAATAATATTAAATTATTTTTAAGACTTCTTTGTAATCAATAAATAATGATAAAGTATCTTTTTATAATAAATGGTTTATAATTTAATATAAATAATAATGAATGTATAAAAATGGATTTTGATCCACCAAATCCATACTATAACAGTAATACTATAAAATATATAATACTATAAAATAGTATGTTTGTTTGTCCTTCTTTCATGTCGAAATAAAATGATGAATTGATGTGATTTTTTGATTATATTCCATACTAAGCGTTACGACACTCCTAAACTAAAAAAAAGTCCACTAATATATGACTGAATAAAAAATGCACTATTTACAATGATGATAGTTGATTAGCGAAAACTATATAACAATATATAACTTACAAAGTTGTATGTATAGCTATAATAAAATTATATTCTACATACATTTTTTTTAATAAATACTAAATAGTAAAAAAATAATAGCTTTTTTTGTTCACAATTTTTTTACTGTTCTCAGGTACAACAGAAGGCACAATTCAAGCAGAGGACTCGATCGCTACACTCGGAAGGACTACAGCATCTTTAAGTATGTTTCATACAATTATTTTAGCTACTTAATGCTATTTCTGTGCTTATTTTAGTGATTTTAGCAGTTTGATTTCTTATAATAAATAAATAATAAAGCCTCTTTATATCCTTAATAAATATAATCATTTCTTTTTTTAAATTAAAACATGCAATACATTTTTAATTTTTATCTTATCATATGTTAGTTTACTTCGTGTTATTCGTTAATTTCAATTATGCTTATACATGTGTACGGTGTACATTTTTTAAATTTTAATTTTATTTGGAACTTGCATGATTTCCTATAATAATGAATGGTAAATCTTTTATGGGAACATTATTTCTGTTACATATCTAAGCTAATTAATTGCAAAGATTTAAGTGATAGATAAACATATATTTGAATATATATATAAAAAAAAAATATTTTGGTATTAAATATTTTTTTATTTCTACAGCACAGCCACTAGCATGGAGCACGCACGTAGTAATAAACGACGTTCTAATAGAAGAATCGGAGATAGATGATAAGTCACCCACTGAAAGTGTGTCCAGGATATCTGACGGTGAGCTTATGCAATTATTTTAATATTTATCGATAAACCTAACAATTTAATGGCTTTACATTAGATCAATAACGATAATATATAACCAATATTTGTGTGTGCGTGATCTTATATATATATATAACTAAACTCCTCCTGAAATGGCTAAACCGGTTTTGATATATATATATATATATATATATATATATATATATATATATATATATATATATATATATATATACATATTTGTCTCATAGCATTTGATTTATTGTCAAAATCAATTATGCTACCCTTCGATCAACAATACTACTAGATATCAGGTCGGCGTAAGAAATCTGTCTCGGTAAATATAAGCTCACTTGCAAAGCGAGCGTATATTTCGATTAGTTCTATTGAAACAATGCCAACGTAAACACGTTCACAATGTCGCAATGTGTATTTAAATAATGCGCGAAGAAGAATTTTTTCGGTTAATACATTTAGATTAAGTCAATATTTTAAGATTTGACCTACGAAATAATATAAAAATGATTTTGAACAATTTTAAATCCATTAAGAATGTTTGGCCCAGGTCGACCAATACACGCGCAAATTTAAACTCACAAAGCAAAAACGTGAAAAAGTGCTTTATATTTTTTAATAGGTTGATTTTGCCATAAACATTATAAACCTTACGAAATGATCTTAAGTGTATGATGATAATTTGAAGATTTGTGACTTTATTACAAGGTGCTATGGTGTAGATTAAGGCCAGGTAGACCAAGCAAAGTAGGCATTTAACGCTACCACGTTTACGCTTTACTGATTTCTTTTATTTACACTATGTGATAGCCGCGCGCTGGAAAAAAGGGACATAGATCTTACCTCGACAAGGCCTGGCGGGCGACTGAAGTGACGAACACGAGCCGCTGTGTTATATATAATAATTTATTATTAAAAGAATTAAGCTATTTTTTTAAATGTAACCACAAATTATTTTTCTATATGTATAATTACCTTTTTTTAGATATGGTTTTTAGTAGTAAAGCCTTTATAAGCTTCGAGAAAAACAAGAATTACCTTTAAAAAATATCGAATTTCACTGTTCTTCGGAAATTTTTTTGATCGAGTGAAGTTTTCGATATCGTGTTTCGAACCACAAATTGTAAAAGTACATAAAGTAAACTTCAATAAGTTTTTTTTTTTACTTTAAAAAATCACGATTTCTTTGTTTATTATTAAATCAAAGTGATGTAAAATTGGGAATACCTGGCCTTAAGTTGAAAATAAAACTACTATAAGACTTTGTCTTGGTTCGTTAGTGTACAAATGTAGCTGTATAAGTGCATATTCGCGCGGACAGAATTTAGCTTTGGTTTTGTATATGACTCGTTATCTAGTAGTATTGTTGATCGAAGAAACTATCCAAACGAAATACCAACGTTCGTTCAGGAACACGTCTGTCGGGTCCGCTAGTCATGTACAATAAAGATGTATTATGTATGTAATAAATATACTAAAATGTACAATTTATTGCACTATAAAATGAAAATATAATATTAAATTTCCAGAACAAAATAAATCATCAGAAGCAACAAAGTCTCCACCGCAAACATTGGATACAGGCACTCCTGCGACCAAGGAACCAACGGATATCGATTCTGATAGTAGCGGTGTTTCACCCGTCAAAAAAGCGAAAGTTACTAAAGGTACATAATTATATTATTATTTACTAGCTTTTGGCTGCGACTCTTTGTTAATGTAAATGTCTCTGATTCTCAGGGTCATAGGGTGATTCGATTTCACATGTATTTCAAATATATATATATATACATACATACGTATATAGTTTAACTAACTACTTAACTTGTTTTAATACTTTAGTTTATAATATTCGTAGACTAACAAAAACATAAATAAGTTTTATATTAATAAGCGAAGTAAAACATTTTACTTTAATTTTGCACTTTTATGATATGATTGTGTATATCTTTTATATAAAAAAGTTGTAGCTTCTTTATAAAATTACAAGACAAAAACAAATCTATCCCACGGGAACCGTACATTTTTCGAGATTATAATATATAGCCTATAACCTTCCTCAATAAGCCGGCTATTAAATGCAAAAAAAATTTTTCAAATCAGATTAGTATTTCTTGAGATTAGCGCGTTCAAACAAACAAACAAACTCTGCCTCTTTATAATATTAGTATAGATCAGCTACTTCGTAATTACAAATTTAAATAAACAATATTAGGCAAGAAAAAGAAGCAATCAATAACGAGACAAGACTCCGGTCCCACTGAAACGAAACGTGGGAAGAAACCGGTCAAACAGAAGGTGCAGGGTGAGAAAGGAGTAAAGAGGAGTCGCTCACAATGCTCATTGGTGGATGTGGATAGAGGTAAGAATATACACTGTGAGTGTGGCTGACTTACATTAATTATAAAACATTAAATAATTATTATTTAACATAATCTATACATAACAATTTTTAGACAATATATACAAATAAATTCACACACTTTACACACACCCTACATAATAGAAAATAAATAATATTAAATAAATAATAAATAAAACACGCATAGAAGCCTTGAAGATAATAAATCGGAAACAATAGAAATTGTCTCCGTTTCGAATGTGGTATAGGAAAGAACAATCGTGACAAATCGATGCAAATGATTCGAGTCGTATTGACATCGATTTGTAAATATAATTAAACTGTTTTTTTATGTTTTAGTTAAGTGAATATTTTTCTTTCAATTCTTTCAATTGGCTTAGTATTATTTGTAAAATACCATCAAAAAAATTTATTAGATTTTTATACAATAAAACAATTTTGATAAACTGAAAACTATTAATAGTCTAGTCAACAAGTACCTTTTTGGTCAACATTTTTCAGCAGCCGGGGAAAAATATGAACGATGTGTCATTCGATTCGAAATGGCATGTAGATGATTTTTGAAAAAAAAAACAAGTTTCGCTTGCCAAAATTGCAAAAGTTATAAACAATTAACTAAAAAAGGGGGTTTAGTTATTTGCAAATATCTCAAAAACTAATTGAAAATTATCAAATCTAAAAAAAAAATTCAAAAAGAGGAGGAAGATTTCTCAAAAATAGTCCCGTTAAAGTTAACTCCCGGAACTGAAGGACTAATATTTATATTTTTTCCAGAGGGATGAAAATAGGCCGAAAACGGATGCGCTGGCTTGCGCAAGCCACGCCTACTTCGGATACTTTATCAATAAAAATTATTATAACATATTAAATATAAAATTTAAGAAATGAAAAAAAATTAGGGGATAGATAAATGAACAATAATATGACGGATTTTTTTTGTGTCACAATTTTTCTGCTGAAAAAAATTGACCAAAAGGGCACTTGTTGACTAGACTATAACGGTTTATTATAAAACTAGTGACAAGCGGCACCATAATATTTAACATGTGACACCTACTCATGTCACATACTTGTCCTGATTTCAATAAACTTTCCATTTCTATATATTATTTTTATAATATATAAATCATATGTATTGGCCGATTAAAATAAAAAAAGTGTCATTAAAATAATAAATTCATCATTATCTTCTTATTGAAGGAGTAAGGAGAAAATATTTTATTTGGTTTATTATTATTTATTAGCTAAAAACGAAGCAGAAAATGAGTCAAAGAAGAAAGTACAACAATCGCCTCCTTTAGATGACTTGGATATGTCAAATGTTACTGTTAGAAGATCAAATAGAGGTCTACAGTCAGGTTCCAGTACTGAGTCCAACGGTTCAGGTGGTAAAAAGAAAGGGAAGAAAACTCAAAAGAAGAAAGGTCAGTATTATTTAGAACTAGCTTTTTGCCTACAAGACTAGCTTTTACAAATGTCGATGGATAAATTTATATAAAGAAATAAACAAAATTCCCGGAGAAATGTACGGTTCCCGTGGATTAGATTTGTTCTTGTCTAGGGACGACCCCGAAGCGAAGCGAGGGTGAGTCGCTTGTTAGAGATAAGATACATATTAAGTTTATTGTGTTTTCATAGAAGACCGACCCCGTCGAGTGACTCGTTCATCTGTGGGGTCCAGAAGCAGTGCAAGTTTTGTTCTCTCCGGTGACAACTCTGGTGACGAGACGGAACTGCATACCATTGTATATGATACTGATATTGTAAGTGGTGTTGTATAACAGAATAATATGTAAATTTTGCTTTTTTTTTTAATTCTTAGATTGTTTTGACTGTCGACTAATTTTATTATGAAATATATTTTTAAGAGAACGGCAAGAAAGCACAGAGCAGAACGGGTTATAATAAGGCTGTATCCTATGTCCATCCCCATGATGTAATTTATGCCCTTGCTTTTAATAAAGTAAAAAGCAGACAAAGTTACTGTCACATCTATTTTAAGAATATAGATTTTTAATATAATATGGAGTTATTCTAAAATTATATTACAAATTTAAGTTGCTAATCATTTTTCCTAATTAACCAGTGTATTTTGTTACAATAATGTTAATTTATTACAGCATCAAGAAATTTTGAATGATTCAAGCGAATTAATGGACAGCAGACGCTCATCCAAAGAGAATGTCACAATCCCCGAAACACCTGATGTGAGCGATGAGTAAGTACTTTAAGGAGACTCTTTTTTGTATATAATTATTATAAATATCCTCCAAATCATTTTGACAATTCTTATATCAGAGTTCCTTTATAATAATTTCTAACAGATCTGATAAATATTTCTTACAGATCTGAATCAGAACCTGAAATCCCAGTTAAAGGAAAAGGAAAGAAGTAAAACGTAATAACATATATTTTATTGTAATATGAATAGACTCATAGTTATTTATATAACAACCAATATTCATTAACAATTCCAAACTTATCGAGAGAATGCGATAAAATCGTAAGTACATGTCAAAGATGCGAATGTAAAAAAATAAAAAGTTGTGCAAAGTAAACTGTACCTTATTGGATAATTTTTAAGGTATAGATTACATTGCTCGACTTCTCTATTTCCATGTAAATAAGCCTTTAGATTAAATTTATAATATTCAGGTGTATGGTGTACTAATTTATTTACAATATACTAGCGACGATAGGTTGTTTCCACATACAAACTTTCACCCCCTCAAGGGATGATTTCCGGGGTAAAAACTATTTTATGTCCATTCCAGGGTCTCAAACTATCTTCTTACCAAATTTCATCTAAATCGGTTAAGTAGTTTCTCAGCTTATTCGATATAAACAAACAAATAAACAAATTATTCCTCTTTATAATATGAGAATTGATAAACAAACCTTGTTATCACTGTTTAGGCTTATTTTAAGAGTAATAACATATAAGCACAACAAGACTATATTTTTGTCGCATTCAACTCAAGGCGTTATTGATAATATATATTGTAATTTGTAATAATTATATATTATTTTTATATAGTTAAATTTTTAAAAATAATAAAAATAAATAAATGCCTTAAAATTCAATACTCTAACTTATACATATAAAAAAACAAAGCATAAGAATTAAATGCTACTCATAAAATGTACATTAATTATTATTACTTATTATATAACTTACGTAACTAATGAATTGTAACTGTTTTGTTTACTCATTAGGGCATTTTTGGATGCTTTACATTTTACATGGGAAGATACGAATAATACTTAAATAATAAATATTTTAACATAAGCAAATGTTTCTTATTTAAAATATAAAATTATAAGTAATGTATTCTAGTTTGCTATTTAACTACTAACAGTTCACTATTTCTACAAAATATATATTTTTGAAGTGAAATTTCTTTAGAATCGTTGTGATTTAAAACTCGATGAAACGAAAATGCGACACTAAAATGAGACAAACACATAAATATATAGGATTAAGCCTGCGAGAGAACGAGGTAGAATACATTGCCATGTTGCCATGGTAACCATTGTCATTGTCTGATAAATATATAAAAAAACCTATCAATTATCCTACTCCTAACACTATATTCATCTCATTCTCTCGTAGGTTACTTTTCTGAAGAAACTTCTACCGTGTATGAATTGCACATTCGCGCACTATTTATTATTTGTACAAATTTTATTTTAGTTTTTCTGTTCATAAAAATCATAGCAATATAGGTTTTTTTTTAAATATTACATAGGAAAAATATAAAGCGACCTTTTTTTCTATCACTTTACTGCGTTCTACTATATTTTACAAAAATAACATGGGCGTATATTCCGACTATATTTTAAGTATACAAATAGAATACCGTAATAATACAAACCGTAAAAATAATAAAATAAACACGATCTGAAGTGTCAAATCATGTTTATTTTATTATTTTTGTCGGATATTTTAAAATTATTTTTATCGGGATCGGACGTTGCTGTTCTGAGAATGCGAGTTGATATTTTCTTTGATTTCGACTTGAGGCGTTTCTGAAAGCTTATTTTTGTGCGTGCCTTTCCGTCTAAAGTCAGTTTTATGCCACCTGCATATCAAAATAATAATATTTATATTATTTTATTAAATGGTATTTTGTGGCGGATTCACACTAAATACATAAAAGAACATAAAATATTTTAAAATTTTATTTAAATAAATAACATATTTATATCTATGTATGTATGTACATACGTAGCTTAGTGGCAGTGGCAGCCCATTGGTAACGCGCTCGCTTAGAAAACCGAGTGAAGCGGGTTCAAATCCCGGGATTCGGACTTCTGTTATTTTCATGCGCGAATCATTCCAACATGATTACTACTAGTCTTAGGATGAAGGAAAACATCGTGAGGAAACCTGCATGTCTATCTAGTGAGTTTTCGAAAACACATGTGAAGTCCGCCAATCCGCAATTAGCCAGCTTGGTGGACTATCGCCTAATCCCCCTTGTATTGAAGGGAGGCCTGTGCCCAGCAGTGGGACGTTAAGAAGGACGGAATACAAATATATATAGCTTATCCGTTGAGTCTACCATTACGTCAAGTGTGCAAAAACTTTATTTCCTTTCCTTTTATGTAGTAGTAATAGCTTCTTTAATTCTACAAGTCCGCCGTAAATTAATTTTGATTTTTGATAAGAAAATTTAAAAGATGTTAAGTAAAATTTTACATAAGTTTTGACTCTTACCTATACAGTAAAAATGTTTTTAGTCTTCTCGTTATAGTACTATCTGTTCAGTCTCCAATAAGAAAATATACTATACAGAATAGAACAAATGATCGGGACATGGTAGAAACGTAAATTATTAACTTAAATAATGGAGATATCAAGTTTCAATCGAAGGAAACATTCTTATATTTTTTTTAAATATATTATAATGCATTTAATTCTTTTAAAATGCTTACCTGACCCGGAATCGAACTAACTAAAAACGCAATTATTTTTTTAAATATTTTAATGCAATTATTAATATTTATAATAATAAAGGGATATTGCTTCCTTTCAGTGAAATTTGATATGTTAGATATATTATGTATATTTAAAGTACCTTTTCCTCCATGTCCAATTGGTTTGGTCCACCCTGTATTGACTAAAGTCTGAAACTATTTTGATCTCTCGATAATAACTGTTTAGTTCTTACTATTTTATACTTCAATATTTATTAATAAATTCTTCAAGGCAACTCACCCATAATTCTGATGGCGTATAGTGATGAACTCGGCGCCCCTTTCTCCGATCATCACCACCGGCGCCATGGTGTTGCCAGATACCAAAGTCGGCATGATGGACGCGTCCACAACTCTGAGACCTAGATGTGGGAAATTAACTAGATTAAGATAGATATATGTGAAGTCCTAACGTCTTTATAAATATTAAAAATGCAAAAGTCAGTGTCGATTCTTATTTTATGCAGCAATGCATCGAAGTATTTTTTTATATAAAGTATAGGCTCAAATCTCTTGGGCTAATAATAATTTTCTGTAGGGCACTTTTTGCAGAATTTATATAACTAGCAACTCCTGAATTTTCTGTGAGCTTAAGCTATATGTTTTTCTTTAAAAAAAATCCTAATAACAGTTCTATTAACATCCATTTCAAATGATTATCCATCAAATAGATTAATATTTCAAAAACACAATCATCTTTTTATCTACGCATTCAACGAACATCACTTATTGACGATATATATTATATTATTGACGATATATATTATGACGATATATATATATTATTATTATTTTATTATAAAAATAAAAACAACAAAAACAATAACTCCAATATAGCTCAGAAATCTAAAATCTTTATCGCAGCACTTAACGTACTTACTCTGAAAAGTGAAGAAAACCTTACAGAACTTATGTATGCTTTAAAACACATCAAATGGGACATTGTTGGCCTCAGTGAAGTGAGAAGAATGGGTGAAAATATCATATCCTATCCAGATTACACATTTTACCATATAGGAGAGACCCCGGGACTCTATGGGGTTGGATTTATTGTCAAGAAACATATAACAAAACACGTGGAAGGATTTGTAGGTATATCGGAGCGTATTGCGATAATGAATTTGAAATTACCTGGATACAAAGATCCTTGGTCAATAGTACAAATTTATTCGCCTACTGAACAGTCGAGTCAAGATACAATGAATGCATTCTACCTTGATCTAAATAATGCGATTCACGAGCATGGTCATAAAAACCTTATAATAATGGGAGACTGTAACGGCCAACTTGGAGAAAGGTGCCCGGAAGAGAAAAATATACTGGGCCCTTTTACATACAGTAATAAACCCAGAAGTAGAAATGGAGAACATATTACAAACTTTGCACTAGAAAATAATCTAACTATCTTAAATACTGTGTTCAGGAAAAATAAGAAAAACATGTGGACATGGATCTCACCGGATGGCAAAACAAAAAACCAAATTGATTTTATAATGTCCAACAGAAAAAACTACTTCTCTAACTTTACCGTAATCAAGAAATTGAACTTCAACACTAACCATAAACTAATAAGAGCAGAACTAATATCAAATCAACCAAAGAAACCTAGACCAAGGCATGACTTAGGAAACGTTAAGCTTGGAAAACATCAGTTAGAACAAATAATAATCGCTCTAAAAGACAAATTTACAGATTACGAATCTAACACAAAAGAATTAGGAACACAAGAAAGATACAATTGGATAGAAAATACTATAAAAACCCAAATACAACTAATTGCAAATAACAAAACTGAACCAAAAAAATGGCTAACAACAAATACCACAAAACTACTAGAAGCGAGAAACCACTTAATTAACACTAAAGATATACAGGACAGAAGAAAACATTTAACGGAAATAAGTAAACAAATTACAGATAGCATAAGAAAGGACAGGAAACAAAATAGAATGGAAATCATAGAAAAAATTATAAGCGAAACGGGTGGAGTCAAAAAGGCGTACAGAGAGTTGAGGAATTCAAAGGATTGGATTGTTAAAATGAAAAATCACAGGGGAAAATGGAATCATCGAAGAATAGAAATATTAGATATAGCAACTTCTTATTACAAGAGACTGTACGAAAGGAACACAACAGAAGACGAAATTGATTTGGCGGATACCTCAAACATCCCTACCATACTTCAAGCTGAAATCGAGAAAGCCATAGACACTCAAAAGGCAGATAAAACACCAGGTCCTGACGGCATAAGCAATGAAATCTTAAGACAAGGAAAGGAAGTGTTAACACCTGTTCTTACAGATATGTTTAACAACATCATAAGCACTGAAATAATCCCCCAGCAATGGACTGAATCAAACATTATCCTGTTGTATAAGAAAGGAGATAAACACGAAATAGGAAACTATCGCCCCATCAGCCTTATGTCAAACATTTACAAAATCTTCGCAAAGATCATTCTAAAACGTATTGAAAGAACGCTAGACGAGCACCAACCCATCGAGCAGGCGGGATTTCGTAAGGATTATTCGGTAATAGACCACGTCCATGTAGTTCGTCAAGTTATTGAGAAATACAGCGAATACCAGCTGACATATTACATTTCCTTTATCGACTACAGCAAAGCATTCGATTCTCTTCTACATAAAAACATATGGGAAGCATTAGTTGAACAAGGGATTGAACTTAAATACATTAGATTAATAAAAAACGTGTACAGGAATAGTACAGTCAGAATCCAGTTAGAAAAGAAAAGTCAGCCATTCAAAGTAGGAAAAGGAGTCAGACAGGGAGATCCCTTATCTCCAAAATTATTCTCGGCGGTACTGGAGTCAATTTTTAGAAAACTCAATTGGGAAAATCTTGGGATCAATATAGACGGCACTTCACTGACGCACCTAAGATTCGCTGATGACATAGTGTTATTCGCCAAAACACCTGAAGCCATCACTAAAATGATAGAAGATCTAGCAACAGAAAGTGAGAGAGTAGGACTAAAAATTAACCCAGAAAAGACTAGAATGATGACAAATGGAGAGAAAACCACGATACAGATAAAAAACATCGAATTAAACTACACTGATGAATACATCTATCTGGGACAACTCATAACCCAAAAAGAACCTATGCGTGAGGAAGTGAAAAGAAGAATTACGAACAGCTGGAGAAGATACTGGAGTTTGAGGGAGGCTATGAAAGACAAACAACTTCATATAAACATCAAAAGTAAACTATTCAATTCCTGCATACTACCCGTCCTTACGTATGGCTGCCAATCATGGACTTTAACTCGAGAAATGTTAAACAGACTAGCAACTTGCCAATATGCTATGGAGAGAAGCATGTTAAATGTCAAAAGATCAGACAGACTGAAAAACTGTGTCATCAGAAATAAAACAAGAACCATAGACGTAGTACAGAAAATAAAAAGACTCAAATGGAGATGGGCAGGGCACACAATAAGAGGTCATAACAAATGGAGTAAGAAGGTGACAAGGTGGTATCCCAGGGAAGGCAAAAGGAAAAGAGGCAGACCACAGAAAAGGTGGGATGATGATATAAGAGAAGTGGCAGGAGTGATGTGGAACAGGGTGGCTTTAGAAAGGTCAGAATGGAAGAGGTTGGAGGAGGCCTTTGCCGATTGGCAGACAGATCTGCAAAAGATAAAAAAGCAGCAAATACTAGATATATATAGATAAGTTTAAGTTTGCTTTAAGTTTTAAGTTACTTTAGAATATTGTTTTTTAGGTTAAGTTGATCTGAATAAAGGCTATTATTATTATTATTATTATTATTATTTCAACGAACATCAGTCCAATTACATAATTACATCTGTCTATACACATAGTAAAATTCTGAGCCGAATCTGTTCATTAAAATTTTTTTGGAAAATCTTATTAAAATAGACATTATTTTCGATATAGAGGCCGAATCAATAGTTTTTAGAATTTTTGTCTGTCTATCTGTCTGTCTGTCTGTTACCGCATCACAGAAAAACCACTAGAGGGATTTTGATGAAATTTGGTATGGTGATAGCTGGTTATTCGGGTCAACATATAGGATGCTTTTTACCGCGAGAAAATATCTCATTTCTGAGAAAAAATACAAGAGTATACTAATGTAAAATTTGGTTTTTGGTCATCTGAACGCGGGCGGAGCCGCGGGCAATGCTAGTTTTAATATAAAATTATACACCGATTTTAAAGATATTTTAGTTTAGGGTGAAACCCTTTAGAGTCGAATTTTTAGAATATATTTGGGGCCACTTTTGAGGTACAATCTATTTAAGGAAAAATATGTAAAAAACATTCACGTTATTAATATACACGCAAAACAAACTCCTTTTTGAACTGAGACGATAATGCTAATGCATTATTACCATCAACACCAAAAACTCTCAGCTGTGGGTCTACGACAGCCATCGGGTCGCTCTCGGGTCCCATCTTGCAAGTGCCCGCTTGATGGTTCTCAGGCGCGGTGTAGATTTTCGCCAAGCACTTGAAGAACTCGTCAGTAGGATTCGGGCCGCCGCCGGGGCACTCTGCGCCGTAACCCTCTTCCGGCCTCATGCCATATTTCTCACGTAAAATCTAGAAAAATATTAAAAAATCTTTATTCCATATTAATTGGACAACTTTATCAATCCGAATGTTTTGTGTGTCATGTCTGTACCTACGTTTGTTACTCCTGCACACTGAAACGGCAGGATGGATTTGGATGATATTTAGAGTACAGATAGACCTGGAGATATGTAAAAGCTAATATTAGGTACCTAGGGACGCATGGAGTGGAGTGAGGGTGTCTCTAGCATATTTCAGAAACACTTCATTTTTTATTGCTTGTCAAAAACTCTACCAGCAGCTCGAAAAGTATGCCACCGTTCTAGAAAGAACTGCCGAAAGAAACTTCAACGGGGCTAGTTCTTTTTTTACCCGACTGGCGACTGTGCGACGTAAAGGAGGGTAATGTGTTTATCAGTCCAAGTATGTATGTTTGTTCCTATGTGGCGTTCTAGAGTCCAAACATGTGAGTCGATTTTGATGATTCATACGTCGTTAGATTCGTCTTGATAACGCGAGTGTCTATATAAAAATAGTTAAAAATAAAATGGCGGATTTCAAGCGCCAATTTGTGTCTTTAAAAAAAGTACTTTCAAACCAATCGAGTGGGGTATCAAAATGAAGGTTTATAAGAGGTTATTTAGGTTACGAGGTGATCACAAAAATATAATATACAACTTATAAGTTTAAAAGTAATTTAGGATAAAAAATTGCTAAATATTACTTCATATGTCTAATTGGCAAAAACTAAAAAGCAGTAAATAAAAAAAAATATTATAAAAATAAAAAACCTGACTGCATAAAAGCCAACTAAAAAGATGAAAACAAGTTGATGAAATGAAGTTGAAGGAATAAAGTACTATACAGTACATATGAAACGTGTATGTCTGCTTATAGTACTAGGTAGTCGTAGGGTTCTGCTTAGAGTGCTTATATTCCTTCGTCAACTTGTTTCCATCTTTTTAGTAAGTTTTTTAAGTTTATAAATAAGCTTCGATCAACAAAAATAAGCTATAGGTAATAGGTACATGAAAATGCAATCCTTACAAATAACTATAAAAGCGAAAGTATGTTTTTTTGTTGTTTTATTCCGCAGATTTCGTTTAATTTATTGTATGTTTGAAGTGCCATAGGTACCTACTATTTATTAGAATCTATACATATAATAAAATTGTAACTGATCGCTGTCACATGTCTGTACATGGAAGATATTTGAGAAAAAATATTATTGTAGATATTTATTAATGCAATAGAACCCAAAACAATGATTTTTAGAATTTTTGTCTGTTTGTAGGTTTGTCTGTGCGTTTGTGCGCGATAATCTCAGTTTTTTTAGGTTTTCACTAGTATATTGTAGTAAACTCTACTTAAGATTTAGAGTTTGTTTTATTTCAATCGATTCGTGAATAAAAAAGTTGGTTGTTGAAGTAGTCAAGTACGTCTCGCGACACCCATCATCCCGTGGGATGAAAGATTTCAATGTAAATTTGACAATCAATAACCAGGTTTGATTACAAGAAAAAGGCGCCATCTTATTTGTATTCCAAAACAAATAACAAGAAAATATGTACCGTAGTATTAACCAATCTATAAGCAATTCTGGACGCGTCTGCGACGACGTCCAGGTCGCGTTCGTCATCGAAGTAGTTGGGTTGCATAAAAGGCGCTTGTAGAGGGTCAGTGGAGCGCAGCGTAAGGTAGCCGCGGCTTCTCGGCTGAAGGGCTACCGGTGATATACTGTTGGAAAGATGAAAATTATATGCTATATTAACATTGTGTTAGATATTTTGAATGATGAATTTTATAATATTAGTTATATTAATAACATGGGGAGCAATAATTATTTGGTTGGCTTTGGTTATAGAGAAATGGGAGATGAAATTCAGCAGTGGTGTACTAGTCATCATATCTAAACTCGTTGATTTTCCTTTGATTAACATAATATAAATAAAATAACAAAGATATTTTAAAGAATAACCAGTTTTCACATGGGTCCTATTAAAATATTTATCAAAACTTCACGCCCCCCTATTCCGATAAAACTTTTTATAACGGTTTATAGGTTATTCCAAATTTTAAGTAATTAATGATAAAATATAATGACAGTAGGTACTTTCTCTTCCTTATATAGATACTATGGTTTTACTGCTTCGGTGATGTAATGGCTAGCATTTACGGCTTCACATCCGGAGGTCCTGGGTTGGAGTCCCGGGTTGGGCCAAGTTTAGTTATTGAGTCTTTCTGTTTAGTAAGTCTAAGTAACAGCCTGGAGTTAGGATCTTGGCAGAGTTTCACCTCGGAGAGCACGTAAAGCCGTCGATCCTGCGCCTTAACTCTCACTGGTCGTGTCGAGTAGTCGTTCCACCGAAGTATGAGAGTGACAAGAATAGAGAGTACACTTGTGTTTGCACGCATACTTGTGCACTATAACGCTATTGTGCACTATAGTGTGCAGATGGCTAGTCTCAATGGGATTGGCCGTCGTGGGCGAAATCGGTCGGGAGAACATTACTATTAGTATGTTTTTAATTTAGTAGTAGGTAATACCAGGTAATAATACCTATTACTGCTGCAAATATCATTTGGACAGATTAAACAGCTTTTAAAATGTTCCTTCTCTGATATATTATTTGATTCATATATATATATATATATATATATATATACATATATATATATATATATATAAGACGGAGGAGGATTTAGTTACCTTTTTCTGTTATGAAACCTTATTATTGTTTAAACTCACTATGTTCTTTAATTTACTTTTTATTGCTTTTAAAGTTATTTTGAATTTAGAGCAGAGATTTAGTCTCGAGCGGGGTCGAGACGCCATCACGACATTCTTTGCAGATACGTGGTGTAGTAAAGTCGGTTGACTATGGTGGATCATAGTTTTGCTTTGATATTGTAGTTGGAAGTCGATGATCGGTGACTGTAAACCCGCTAGCTCTAAATCATTAGAATTACCGTTTCAAGTTTATAACATTGTGACTTCCCTGATTAAATTGTGTATTGAGCACTGAATACTTTATTATTTGAGCCCTGATAAAGCCCACAAGATGAGTAACCACCAAAGATGATGTTCGTAGTATATGGATAACACGACATCAGAAGTGGTATGATATCCGAAGAACAGGGCAAAGATAGATGACAGCGGCCATTTGAAAATTTTGTTGCGAAAATTTTCTCAAACTGAAACGAAATGCGATGTCAAATGTTATTTAAAACGGACGCACAAAATAGCGATGCATATGCGGGTTGTTTTACAGAAGATTTACTTTTTGATAATCATGAATCATGATGATATGATTGATATACTCGTATGCAAGATGCTCAAAAGATATTAAAATAATCATAGATGTCTCAATTTAATTTTTATGAAATGACATGACGTCGACAAAGATTTGTTGCTAGCTGGATTTGATTTTCTTGATATTATCGCAGAATTATTTTTGAACACAATATGTATGGAAAAATTAAATGGAAAATTTGTTTATTTCAGGATGATATATGAAGTTAATTTATTTAATCGATAAATTAGGAGAATTATTTTTGAAATGTTTTTGTTCGATGCTTATAAGGACCTTCTTCTAGTTCTGAAATAAAATATAAATTATGTCAGAATTATAGAGTGTCAAAAATGCTTTTGTATTGTAATTGTTTGCTTTATACTTGCTTTATTTCAGGATTTTTAAAGTGAAAATATTGAGTTGATATTTTTGATAAAATAAAATTTAACTAAAAGGCTTACTATTTCCCGTCGAAACATTAAAAGATGATATTTGCAAAATATATTTGGAAAGTAACATGATCTCTGACTATACTATAATCGAGGTGGTATAAAAGTGATGTTTTTATCTAACAAAATTTTTTTGCAGTTCATCAAGTGAAATATGAGAAATAGTTGACTGTATTGTAACATTTAGTTATTTTATGTGCCAGTTCGTAGATTTTGAATATAGATGTTTGATATGTCAAGTGGACAGTCGGTGATTCGGATTATATGAGTTAGGAATATAAAATATATATGTAAAATGAGTATACAGAAAAAGCGAGAAATATAATTGTTAATTGCCAAATATTTGTCTTCCTGGAAAACCCTTCTGAGCTGTATTAGCTCAGAAGTGGGATGACTGCAAAAATATACTGTTTTTGCAACGCCCACGGATCATCTGACAATTTGAAGGTTACGTTATTTTGTAATTTATATGATTCTTTTCAGTGAAAGGATTCAAAATCCTAAAATATGTTTCAATTTGTGAGGTAATTGTGTATTAAGTTGAATAATATGAAAAAAAAAAACAAAATAGTGTGATTATTAGTTAGATGTATGTGGATTAGTCCAAAGTATATTAAAAATATCTACGGAAAATTTTATTTGAAAGTAGAAAATGATGTGACAGAATTAAGGCGATAAAATACATATTAACTTAGATTGAATATTGTATAATAACAGAAGTTGAAAAGTCATTTAGCTCAAAAGATACTACTCCTGGATGTGACAATATTTTATATTCCATTCTTAGGTTCCTTCCAAATAATGCCAAAATGTGTTACTTTTACTATACAATAAATTTCTGAATCTTGAATTTATACCAAAACAGTAGAGAGACATTAAAGTTGTTCCTATTCCGAAACCTGGTCGGGTTGGTTCTAGTTCATCTCTAAGACCTACTTCAATGATGTTGTTCGTTTGTAAAGCTTTTTATAACATTCTATCGAAGCGAATACAATGGTTTATAGAAAAGTTTGAATTTTTTTCAAACCGGATAAATGGGTTTGAAAATTCCGATCTACACTTGATAATCTCAGTGATTTAGTATTGACAATAGAGAAAGTTTTCTTTTAAGGAAGACGTACACTATAGTACGCTTTATAGGCATCGATAATGCATATAATAACAATCTCAGAGGTCTTTTACATAATGTGGAGGAAATGGGAGTCGGATCTAATATTTGCACCTACGTACATAATTTTTTTCAAGGAAAGAAATCTTAATATTTTAATTGATAACTCGTATTATGTCTCTAGGAAAACTTAGCCCAAGGCGATCCTTTATCACCTTTAGTGTTCAATATAGCAACTATGAATTTATGCAAAAAGATTAAAAAAATGTATTAATATCCCAATATGCTGATGATTTTGTGATATATATAACTTGTGATAACTTTAGCTTAGGGACCATACATATCCCCCCCAACGTGCGTTCACCTTGTCGTGGTGGGGGGGCTCAGTAGTGTACTCGCGAAGCCAAGAAACGCACAGGGAGGTGGCCCGTTTTGGTGGGCGGTGGGAGGCGGCCTTCTTCGGAGGGCGGTGTACCGTGCGGGTTGCTCCTGGTACTTCTCTGATAGCAGAGTGGACCGTGGAGCAACCCCATGGTTGTTGTGGTCTGCTTCGGCAGACCTGCCGTCGGGGCGTCGTAGTTGAATGCGTAAGCGATCCTGCGACGCCCCATTAAGACGGGGGAAGGTTTTGTTGGGTTTTAGTGGGTAGTACTGGCTGTATTACGCCGGTGAGTCCCACACGTCGTGCGTAAATGCATTTCCCAACGTTAAAAAAAAAAAAAAAAAAAGGGACCATACATATGCAGAGATCGCTAGATGAATTGAATAGTCATTTATCCGATATAAGGTTGACTGTATCGCCATCAAAAACAAAGATTTGTGTTTTCATGTCTGACTATAGAAAATAAATACTTAATTTAAAAATTAATAACATTGCTTTGGAAAAAGTTGATAGTATTAAATATTTAAGTGTTTGGCTGGATAAGTCACTAAAATGGAAAAAGCAATAGATGAATTAAAAGTTAATTTATCTAGATGTTTAAAAGTTTTAAAGATCTTGGCAGTTCTAGTTGGGGTATTCATCCAGTGCACATGCGACGTCTATATATTTCATTAATTCGTAGTAAAATTAACTATACCAGTTTTCTATACGACAATCGGTATCCATTTTCGACATCCACAACTAAAATTTATAAAGAAACACGTATTATGAACCTTTTTTTTTTTTTTTTTTTTAACGTTGGGAAATGCATTTACGCACGAAGTGTGGGACTCACCGGCGAAGCCAGTACTACCCACTAAAACCCAACAAAACCTTCCCCCGTCTTAATGGGGCGTCGCAGGATCGCTTACGCATTCAACTACGACGCCCCGACGGCAGGTCTGCCGAAGCAGACCACAACAACCATGGGGTTGCTCCACGGTCCACTCTGCTATCAGAGAAGTACCAGGAGCAACCCGCATGGTATACCACCCTCCGAAGAAGGCCGCCTCCCACCGCCCACCGAAGCGGGCCACCTCCCTGTGCGTTTCTTGGCTTCGCGAGTACACTACTGAGCCCCCCCACCACGACAAGGTGAACGCACGTTGGGGGGGACGAATTATGAACCTACGTCAACTTTATATATACCTATATATATATATATATAAATCTTACATTCTGATAAGGAAAATTATTAGTAAATATGTACATTCTAATTTATCCTTCATGAAACATGTTATTAAGCGTAGCACCCGTCGACCTAACCTACTAGTTCTCCCAAAAACTACAACAAATTATGCAAAGAAGGATATTACATTTGAAGGATCACAACTCTATAACAAATTACCATCTACTTTAAAAAAATGTAAGCTCAATTAACGGATTTAAATCTCAGCTCTCATAATATATTTTGGAAAATAACCAATTTAATAATATTTAATATACATACATCTGTAACTATATCT